TTGATGATTGAGTATAATAAAAAAAAAATATATATATATATATATATATATATATATATATATATATATTGTAACGTTAAGAATCGATCAACCACTCAGTACTCCTGTACTGAGAGCGCACTCGTTAAAAGCAAACAATAAGAACGTAAGTCGAGCGCCACTAGGGCCACGGTACTAAGCCAGGAGCATCCTCTGTTTCTCAACGACATGTCAGTGAGAGATAGGATTAGACAAAAAATATAGAACGCTTCTCTGAAAATCCTTTCCTACAATACCAACATTTATTTTGGACGATTGTCATTGACTCACATAGAAAAACTATTGTACCTGTCATCGATAATTTAATAAATCCTCATTTTATTTTATCATTTAATCCTGTGTCGCCCAACTTCTTAAACGCGCCAGCCCCGAGCACTGAGCTACGTCCCATTTCGTACACCCATAAGAGGCGTACGAAATTGCACTACCGATAAACGTCAAAATACATACAAAACGAAAGAGACACGACAGCAGCCGTTTGGCAAAGAGCATACATATCCAAGTATAAACGTAATAACTGACAATTACAAATGATGCTCCGTCGTAAATTTCTCGTTATCTCTCTTTATTAATTACTGGATAGATATCTGTATCAGCTCATTAACAATATTTCCAATTGCCTGGTTTCCAACATTTACAACCGCAACGAATCTTCTCCTAGCAACTCGCCCATTTAAATATAGTAATTTCAATATTCTCTTTCCCAAGATCTCTCCTAACAACTCGACCCAACTGTACCCGAGGACCACTTACATCGCTGAGATGGTCCCTGGAACTGTCGGCGTCCTGGCAATCCCTAGGTATTCCAGGTCCGTGCAATTGTTCAGACGCTCGTCCACTGTCGTCACTCGTACCCGCATCTAGGCCCTAAAAATAAAAGTCAAGTAATATAATTTTACCGGAATAAATTCTCTGTGAATTTTTTTTGAGAGCTGATAATTAGTAGCCGCATTAAAATTACCTGATTGAGCGTAGAAGGCGTTAGAATGGAATTATGTGTATAATGGTTGTGCTTTATGTGATTCTTAATGTGGTGCTCGCTATGCCGATTATTCTGTCCAGTATCGACCTTCGGCTTTTCATCCACTATCGACAGTAAGGTATGTAGCTTCTTCACATTGTTCTTCGCAGCAAGCTTTATTGCACTCTGAAAGCATCGAGAGAAGAAAAATTGATTAGTTGATTATACAGATACAAGTAGTCAAATCGCAGATTTCCGTTCTTTGACTTGACGATTAATAAAATTAATCGATAGTCAGGAGCACCGTATCGGGTGACCCCGATGAAAGAGAGGAATAAAGTGAAATCACGAGAATTTTCTAAACTCATTGATTTCCCTCGTTCAACAGGATTTTGTCCGATCAATCGTGAAGAAAAATACAAAAGAGCCGGCGCAGCACAAAATTTCGACAGCGTTTCCATTATTCTGCGGTAGAGCAAGACAAATGAAGAAAGATAAAGTTATGGGTAGGATCGTAGGAGCGAGAGAGAGAAAACGAGGTATTCGCAAAGTATTGGTGCCGTGCACGAATGCAGCAGGCCAGCAGTAGAAGGGATAGAGTACGAAGCGCGGACAGAGCGAGAAGGAAGAGATGAGGCGTGCAAGGAAGAAGGACAAAGAGAGAGAGAGAGAGAGAGAGAGAGAGAGAGAGAGAGAGAGAGAGAGAGAGAGAGAGAGAAGACATTGACCGAAGAGCCGCGCGGCGCGACAAGGCCTCCTATGCTCCGCGTTCTGGAAGCCAGCTGGAAGGAGCTAAAGAAGCCTTCGCAATGCCAAAGAGAGCTCCGATAGAGTCTCTGGATGTGCAAGAGAAAGAGAGGATCCGATGCAGCCTGTCGTTCGCTCTCAGTCCCTTCGTTGACCTGAGCTTCTCTGGTTGGTCGCGAGTCGATCGGTAGTTCAGGACGACACCAATTGCATTAGAAACAGGCCCTAAGCATTGCTACTCTCATTCAAGAGAAAGGACCTCGAAAACGCACGTGTATCAACCCAACAAGGCATAAATGGCGGTGACAAATGAAGAAGCGTCAATGTCTCTGGGAAAACGAAAAAAAAGGACTATTTTCTTTTTTTGGGCTTCGTATACAGAAAAGGAGGTCCTCCAGCCACGACCTTGATTCCCGCGGTTGCTCTTGGTTTGCCTTAAACCAGAATCGAGATAATGACCCACGGGACCTGAGCAGCACCCTAGGATTATTTCCTTCGGCGAATGGGAGGAGATGGCGGATGGCCCCACGCGAAACTTACCACTCACGTACAAGCAGCGCAACAGCAGACTCTTTCTGTCCCTTTGCACGAGCATGGAGGAAGATCGCGTAGCTGGAGGCACGAAATCCCGAGGAGACCCTCGGAGACCCTCGGAGAGAGTAGAAAACGTTTTCTTCCTTCGTTCCTCTTCATCTTATATGTCTCTACCTCGCTCTCGCTCTCTATCCTATCTTATATACCCGAGCGTAGGACGCTGCCACGTATACAAGTTTCTGCACGATCGGACTCTAATCGTGCGTTCTCGTTCTCTCTTCTGAGCCTCCAGGTGCTACTTGAATTAACCGACACGGTATCTACGAACGTACGTATTTCAGACAGGCAGCTCACTAATTGCACAGTGAGATATTACGAAATATCGAAAATTCGAATCGATAGTATCGATCGTATAGATCGATTGGACAGTCTCGTTAAGCGATAAGTTATCGAGTGGAGGAGACGAGACAATTGACCATCTTTGCAAAAGATGATGGCTGATAGTGAATCGGAAAGAAAAATAGAACCCGGACTGGCTCCCTTGTCAAATCGCGGGTATATGACAAATTTGTATAGCAGTATATAAACGTGTCGAGGATGTCTTATCTAATCTGAACACGGACGATCGCTCAAAGAGAAGACTTATCCCAAAGTAAACAAAGATTCGCGCGCAGTGTGTTGCCGAGGGGTTTTGTTTGGTCTATAAATTAGTAATATCGTGGAAAGTGACATGTGGCTGTTAAGTTAAATAGATCGAATCTATAGTTGAACAGGTCAGGTTAATGATGCTTCGGAATCTACGAGGAATTTTAGTTGACACATTTTTACTGTAGGGTCGCCGATTACGATGTCCAGGAGACACGAGGAAAGGGTCACGAAATGTAAGAAGAAAATGAGAAACTGGGTCATTCTCTGGTGCAGGTGACGAGGTAGTCATTTTATCCGAGAATCTACCGCCTGGTTGCATCCATTTTTTAAAAATAATGTTAGGACTTACCTTAAAATAAATTTTGTCTTTAATAATATACAAAGTCCGTAGCTTCAATAAAAATTTTTTACGCAAGTACAAATTCGTATGTAGGCACGCTAACGGTTTTGCCGTAGCAGCTGGATGTGAAACATAACCTATTTGCGGTATGTACTTTTTAACAAGGACAATCGAATAAGCCTCGTGAACGTATCCAAATTATTGGACGTCGTGGAAACATACAGTCCGAAACGGCAACGGGCGAAAAGTAAAAATACAGGGGGACCCAGGTTGGCACAAAAGAACCTCTATCGGGGCCCGAGGAGGGACGGTAGAATCGGAAAAAGAATGCGAGAGAGAAAGATGGAAGGAAGGAAGGAAGAAAGGGCGCGTGCGTTAGTCTGGGTTATTTATTTCGGCGACTCCTTAAGGTTAGCGGCTGTTGCGAACAGCAGGCAGCAGCGCCAGAATGCCGAACAATGAACTTTCCGTAGAGGAGTAAACAATGCACCTCTCGATGGATCGCAAAGATTCCTTCCTTGCCTCCTTACGTTCACGTGATCTAAATGCTACGGACGTAGAACGCTTTAGCGATTGTTAACTCCCTCGAACGTATATAATATACACGCACGCATATCTCTTCTCCAGGCGACGATGCACTCGATACTGGGATTAACACTCCAGAGCTGACAAAGGCGACACTCGACTCTTTTGGTGAGAATGGACGCGAGAGTTGATACCCGTGAAATAGATAGAAAAAGCTTGGTTTAACAGTTCGCGTGTAGCATCCAGGGCAGTACTGTTTGTTACCGCGAGGGTGCATGCTCTCTACTCTCCTGGAGTACGATAACGGATAAGAAGGAGATGCGAAGAGATCAGGTCGGGTCTGTGGAAGTGGTGGTAGAAGTAGGAGATAGTGCGAGTACCGGGTCCAGGAGGAGATGGAGGAGAAAGGAGAGAAGTAGCAGCGTGTGAGAGAGAGAACTTCGAAAGGAAGGAAGGAAGGGACAGTAACCCCGAGGCCACGCGTGTTGTGACAGGAGGTGGAAAAGAGAGAGAGAGTGAGAAGATGGGCGACAAGAAGAGTGGGAGTAAGAGGTGGTAGAGGAGGAGATGAGTAGAGCAAAGAGTACAGAGAAGAGGAGAGGAGAGGGGAGGGGAGGGGGGTCGAGGGGGAGAAGCAAGAAAAGAAGAACTTACCTCGAGCTCTTCGTAGGAACGAAAGGCGAGGATAGCGAAACCGTCGATAATGTCTTCCTCAAAGGGAGGTTCCTTTTGCGTGGCAGAGGCTAGGGAGGACTTCTTTCGCGGCCTAGGTGGTCGTGGGGGTCTAGGAGGTCTTGGAGGTCTCGGATGACTATCCCTCGGGTGACTACCCCGAGGAAGTCCGAGTGCCAATCCTCCGGGATCCTCGTCCTCGCCGCTATGGCTGTCCTCCTCGTCGGGTCGTTGTCTCTGCTGCTGTTGCTGGTGCTGTTGCTGTTGCTGTTTCGCCGTCGCCAAACTCTCTCTCTGGGCTAGCATACGCTGGGCTCGTTCCCTTCGGCGATTTCGCTGATTTCTCTGTTTAGCTTCGATCTCCATTTCGTCGAGGGACTCCAGTGTCGGCTACACAGCACCTACACCTTCTCCTCAACAGAAGACACGAGCACGCAACACCACACTGTTCCACATAATCCAAAAAGGTCGCCTGACTGTTCCAGGGTATATCCTCGACGTATTCCTATCCACTATGCACTCGCGCACATCGATCGCACGCGCTAGAGTCTGCCGTGCGTGGAAGAGACACGGCACACCGTTCGGATAACTCCTTCGACTCGTCGAACCAACTCAACGTCGCTTCTTGCACGGCTGGAAGGCTGGCTCACTGGCTTGGCCCCTGCACTTATTCTCTTTTTTACTTGCTCCAAGGATATATCTCCTTGTGCTATCACTTATTTGCTTTTCACTTTATTTCCTATCCCTGTTACTCTTTAGTAGCTAGCTCACTGACTCCGTTTTATCGTTTCCGTGGATTCTCGTACGCACGTCGACAGGCAGGCAGGCAGGCAGGTAGGCAGGTAGCAGACGGACAAGACTAACAGGCAGACAGACGAATAGACAGGCAGGCAGGCAGGCAGGCAGGCAGCAGACAGCAGGCAGGCAGACACGCACGCACGCATTCACGCACGCACGCACTTCTTGGCCGGTTCACCGATCGAGCTGCTTCATCGTCGCCCAGCTCGCGGCGGTGCTCGTCGCCCGAAACCGGGCACTATCGCCATTGTCCCAGCGCCGTAGAGCCAGATGCACTCGAAGAGGGCACGTAGACCGATTGTTTGGAATGGCGGATCGAATGGACACGCACGGTTGGCGCATCGTGTGGTAAAAATGGCCGCGACCTGCCCGCACACCGCCCGTTCCAAGGAGATATATCACAGGCCGACCTGAGCCCCGAGCTCCAAGCCCAGCATCGCCACCCCCTTGAGCTGATTATCTTTTTACAGGACACGCACCACTCTTGTCTCTCTCTCACTCATTCACTCTCTACCCCTCTCTCACACTCTCTCGTTGAACACTCTCGCTCCTCGACTATGCACGCCCTAATTGCCGCACGCACCGTCGTGATTTTCCAAGCTCGCACCGCGCATTCTGTCACTGCGAGCACTCGCCACCACCAAGAACATGGCGTACGCTCGGACTGCCTGACGAGACCACCAGTGACAAGGGGCATACGCGGGGCCACGGGTATAACGCACTCCTTCTCACTCTGACACACTGTTCGACAACTCGGAAACAGTCCTGCACTCTTGCCACAGATGGCTACACACTCTATACGTTCACGTTCCTCTTCGTTCTTGCCAGTTCTTGCCTCTCGATATCTCTCGGCATTACCTCTTGTGCTCGCTAGTGCTTCCCAGTGCCTGCCCCGACAATTCTTCCACCCTGGATAATTCCCTAGATTACATTGACAAGTTGGGCCACCCATCGGAAACATAAATCCCTAGATATCACGGAGGACGTTGTCCTTCTTGCGACAGATGGCGCTGTGATACTTTCTTTTAGTTATTTCCCGAATGCATTAGATACTATGATTCTTCTCTTTATAAATGGATTGAAATTCGTTATCATCATCGATTATTCTAGTACGTGCCAAAGTATCTATTGATTTCTTTTTCTTGTTTATCTGCTGAATACGTTTCAGTTCTTTTTTGAATAAGATGTTTACCCACATTTCGATAGCACATACGCATTTTTTTTCGTGCTACTACGTGAATTGTTCCGATACGTGAATATGCAAATCGTTCCTTGAAATCAAATCGTAAATTCGATGTTATTGCTAAATTCCTTGCTGAAAAAGGGCCAGTCCTCGATAAACTCCTAAGCAACTTTTACAAACACCTCTCCACATTCTGTGGAGACTGGTCGACGTTGGATTTTAACGAGTTGCGCAGCCGTCTTTGGAGATCCGCACGTTTCTGGATCCATATAGGTACGCCTGTCCGAACGTCTCGATCGCGTGGGCCGCCACCGACTACCTACATGCATATCTGCCGTCACCTCAGTATCAAAAGGCACAATCTCCATTTCATTTTCTCACCAAAAAGAAAACGTTAAGGCTAAAAATGTCCGTGGTAAACAACTGAAATTACCACGAAATTGCAGCTGACAGACATAACATAGAAATACCAAGGTATCAACCATTTTCAGTATCCATTACTTTTCATCATTTTCACTTTACCTTGAATGCAGTATCGTCCACCAACAATAATTCCAATTCCAACTCCAACGTGCATGCCTACCAACTGGCAACGGAAGAGTAATTGTAACCTCTTCTGACCCGCTGACCGATTTTCCTAACTGAAACCAGTCACAACAGCCAACTGGATATCCCTGAATCGTTGTCCCTGATCGGACATGCGACCTTCTCAAAGGAAGGCAACCACCTACAAAGTTGCCGGTGCACGTATAGTACGTATTACACTCCCAGGTGAGTATACGTAGTAATACAGACAGGCACCGTCATCTCTATGCCTTCACCAACAGAAACAAACACAGAAGAAAAATCGGCCGAGCCTCGAACGCATTCGCCGGTCTGCTCGACGATCTCTCCTACTACCTCGCACAGCACAGCCAGGAACTCTGTTAGAATTCTGCACTCCGGACAGTCTCGAACTCAGTCGAACTGTCGACAGTCAACAGTCGCGCGTGTCCGACAGGCATACCTCTGTCGTAGAAAATAATACGACAGGACCGTGTGATTTTATTGTGTTTGATACAATCGATAGTAATTAAGAGTGAGCAATAGTTTTCGTGAAACTTCATCGATCCATTATACATAAATCGATCGATTATTAATTCCGTTAACAGTTATATTTGAACAGTCACACTTTTCATGAAATTAATATCATTGATTGCAGAGGACTTTGTTAAATCAATTGGAAATATTTATAGGTAAATTACATCCAACAGATTTATTTTCTCATACAGATCATAGAGCAAAATGGAGTTTAAACGAGTTTGACACGAGTAAAAAGAAATCGTAGGAAATCCTTCGGAAATGACATTTTCGTCGATTGGCGCGCGTATCAATGTACGTTAAATCCACGTCTCGTGTTTACTCGAGCGAGTGAATTTTCCTCGAGGAAATTACAAAGAGTCCTATTGTCGTGTCGCGTTATGTAAGGAGCCGCGACAGCGATGAGAATCTTCCCAGTGCATAATATTACAAAAGTACCGTTTTCGCGCTACGCCAATCAACGATTCGTTAAGGCGATTCTCAAAGACAATACTTTCCATTAGTCACTACACGTACCATACGTCGTCACAGAGCATATCCTTTTTCGTTCTCGTATTTTTCGCCGTGAAAACGCATCTGCGACCCAACCTCGCCTTCCGTCACCTCATTACGTTAAATGAGCGCGCTTCTATATTTTTCATTCAAAATGGCGACGGCCTTGATGATTTCACGTGGTGTATAGCTGCTGCACCTACTTCTCCACTATTCTACCCACAATATATTCTACTATCTTACCTCCCAGTCTCATCTCCAATTGTCCCGAACCCTTGTCTTACGTTTCATTTCTTATTCCACGTTTCAGCCGTGGCTCCATATACGGAATAAATCCTAACCTCGTGTACGTGAATTCTTTAACGAACGAGGAAGACGATACCCCTACCAGTGTCGATAATAGTACAACAGTAAACAATCGAATAGTAAATCCATAGAGCAATAGACAAAACGTAAAAGAGAAGTGTCTATGAAATATTTATCAGAGTATACAATACATACTCCTCAGTGTACTTAACTGTAATGGTGAAATGTCACTGGGTTTGGAAATGCCTCTGCTTATGGACACGCATATATGACGCATCCCTGACGTCATTCCAGGTATAAGAGGTATAGAAGACTCGCCAATGCTGAAGCAGGATGGATGTGGTGGTAGAGAGTGAAGAGATCAGAATAAATAACAAGGAAGGATGATCAAGGGATTTAACCATTATGGTGGGGAAGGCACGCGCGCCTTATTCAAACCGCAAGGACGTGTTTTCAAATGACTAGTCATAGACACATATCCTGTCGTGTGTTATATATATATATATATATTAGTAGACTATCTGAAGCTATCGTATTATCGTATTACATCCCATATCAAGTGCGACCACAGGCTCGCGTGGATATGGCGGCCTTCGACTTCCACGCAGAGTCCATACGCAATCGTCTTTATGAATTATACACGACTTGGCTGCCCAAACGGGTGTCTGCTACTTCGATATGTCGCCGATCCTCCTCCGCGTACTGGCCAAGCCTCTTTTATAGGCTTTCACGGAACCTTTAAAACTCTGACATTCATAGCAGCCTAATTTATTTATATGGACACGCGACCGTTTGGCATTAATCAATTTTTATAATGACCATGTCGGGTAACTCGTTAAGTCAGATACGTGAGATACTGATTTTAATTGAGTTCTATGTTTCTTCCATTACAGAACACTTGTTTAGTATGAAAGAATGATGGAGGTGATATCAAGTCGTCGTTACGAAGCTCGTCCACCTGCCAATGTTCATTCTGGAATTCTTGTGAGTTTTTAATGTTACTTTTTTTTTTTAGTAAAGCTTAGTTGTGAGGTTATGCTATTGTCTCGGGAGGGTCGTGAATCGAGGTTATGTCTGATTAGTTTTTTTTTTATTACCTTTGAAAGGAAGTGAACTGATATTACCTCAGACTCTTTGACGTTACGACATTCGTTTAGCATGACGTCACTCTCTGGCAAGATCTTTGCGACAAGTTACTTGTTACCGGTCAATATTTGATTTTTGATTAATTTTAATCCGTCGGATTGGTATTAGATGTGATTATGGGTCATAATATTATTGTTTAATTATTCAGGTCGATCCTGAGAACTCTGTGGCTACCGTAAAAGAAGGTATGGTACAATTTTAAAACGATTACGTATAACTATCGAGGCGTTGTCGAGACGTCTCGCGGAAGTCTTGCAAAACGACGAATCTGGGTTAAAAGGATGCTCGTTTCCGGCTTTCAGAGGAATGGGAGACTCGAAAGAAGAAAGAGATCACGACGACGAGACAGATAGAAACCAGGGTGAAGAGGCAGGTCGTTCTCGAGGATGGCGAAGTTGTCGTAGATTCCGGTCCTCTGGTAACAACCAATACCACAGAGGACGTGGAGCAGCAAGAACACACCACTCAGGAAGTGAGTTTCCCAGTAGATCATACCACTGACCGGATGTCTGCTTGTTCTCCGACAAAAGACAATGTATCGATTTTAATATATTTCTCAGCGTCGCACAACCGGCGATGATCCAAAGGAAGTGGAATGGCCGACCGGAAGTGGCGATGGGGTCGTGCAAAAGGAGTCGAACGAGACTGTGGTCCGTAGTCGGGAAGAAGTCGAGGAACGTCTGGAGACTGAAGATCGGCAACAACTCGGTGACATATCTGACGAGGTACAGCATCGTTAATTAGGTCCATGAAGTCTTGAAAATAAATTTAACTCACTCAAACGTCGTACACGACGTGGTGAAATCCTACGAGAAGCAGTTAGTTTCTTTGCAAGGTGTTAAACGGTCTCGGCAGTGCCTGTGGTACGGGATACGGACTGGGGATTGGTCCATGGAAGAAAGTGGGTTCAAGTGGGAGGGAAACAGGGTCCAGAGGAAACTCAGAGAGGATAAATATATATACATATATACATATATACACCAAGCAGATCCATTGCGAAACAGGGAACAGGTACGCAAGTACACGGAGAAGCGGAATCGTACAGATACACGAGGAATAGAGATCGGTAGATGCCCGCAGCTATGTATGTTGTGTCTGTATATATATATATACAACTGCGATTCTATAGGAATGGTATAGTGAAGGGAAGGGAGTCTGTAATCGGTAGGTGCGTTCAAAAGAGAGAGCACGAGAAGAGCAAGAGAGACGAGAGAAAACTGATCTCAAGTTGCTCTCCCTTCACCCAATGGCGAAGAAGGAGCAAACCAAGATGCCACCAGCCAGTCACAGCTGGGTCACGCGATTCATCTGACTCCGTTTCATAGAAGGTTCCTCGTGGTATCCACCATCAACTTCCTGTTCCTAAGAGCCTTTTTATACTTGACAAAAGAATTTTTGTGTACCTGGGACAATATGTGATCGGTCAGGATAAGAGAGCTGATGAAGAAGACTGTTACTGGGATTCTGATAATCGACAACCGACGATTCCCTTTTATCTATAGGTTCGTTGTACTCTCCTGTCTCATCTTACTTATCTTCTATCTTTCATCTAGTTGTCATAGATACTTTTGGTATTTTAAATCATTCTGGTATTATCGTTTATCTCTTATATCACTTCTGATCGGCGGATACGTTTAAGAGTAAGGAGTCGAGGTCGGTTTGTATGTACTATCTTTATATATATGTATATAAGAAAAAAGAACTAAAGGATGATTGGAGGAAAGGTGGACGAGCCGGTTCTGCTCTTTCTGCTTCGTAGGAGGAGAATTCATACTCGTATCTTCGTGGCAGCTCTGCAATGTGAACAAACTGTTATTTGTATCAGGATGGGAGAGAATGAAATTTGTATTTTTCACTGTCCTCCAGGTGTACCTGAGGGCGATAAAGAGCAACAGAGGTGATCTGAGGGTGGCACTGGCAGAGTCGTCGAAGCAGCTGGTACCCCAGTCGGGACCGAGAGTTCTCCAGCACACGACCAAGACGAACAAGGTCGTGGACACGGAGAAGAAGCTGGAGAGGAAAGAATTAAAAGCTGACGGACTTATAATCACTGAGACTAAGAAGACGGTGGAGCACGAGGAGGTTAGACTGACTTCCGGTTTAGTGTGATCAAGTGTAACAAAAGTGTCATTAGTCATTGATTTGTGGAATGTTCTGTGATCCGCTAGATCAAGGACGACGAGTTACCCGAGGACGGCACTGGTGCTGATCAGGACAGCGAATCCGAGACCAGGAAGGAGAGCTCTCAGAGGTTTATTAAGAAGAGGGACGAGGACGTGGTCGATTACGTATCTGGCGGTGAAAAGATCGGCCGAGAGATGAGATACGTTTCTGAAACTACGGAAGGTGAACGTATCGGAGATTGGCCACCACCTCCGACGACGATGCGCACCGCCCGTTTGCACAAGCACTCTGGATTCCCTGGAGATGGTTTGCCAACTGCGAGGAAGGACGCTCTTACGAAAAAGCCTTTGGACCTTGAAGAAGAGGATGAAGCCAGGAAGGTCGAGACCTCTAAATGGCTTGAAAGTCACTTTGGTAGCGAATCTCGATCGTCACATGGATCATTGGAGCCTGATGAACCCGTGGTGCAACCTGGTACCAATACCAGTTTTATAAACGTCACCATGAAGTCCATGCCGGTTCAGGGTTCATCCAGGGATCGTGATTACCAAAACTCTAGTCGACCTCATCATAGAACTTCCGGTAGAGACTCGAATTCACCTTCTGGGTATTATCATGGCATCAGCGAATGGTCAGAGAGATACCAGGGTGCAGGTAAATTTCACATTTTATGTTCTTCAACGAATAAGCAGGTCAAAATTGTATATTGATAATTACAAAATATGATTTTTCATAGAAAAACAAAACAATCATGGAAGGACTGCTTCGCCTCTTCAATATCCGGTCGAGTCGCCTTCTAAGAATAATTCATATGCTCATGAGAATGTGAGAAGTCAAATGGAGTCCTCGTACAGTCGTAGCTACGAGTCAAATCGACGGCAGCAGGAACATCAAGAACCGGTACAGCGCACAGGCACACCATCCCCACCGCTTCGACGAAGGAACAGGGAGCAGGTAAGGGACAAATTAAAAGACTTCATTAAAAGAGTTTATCATTAATACTTAATTATATTAGCTTACTGCGCGTATCGAGGAGAAGACTAATTACGAGTCGACAGCAGGACGCATGGCTAGTCCGGTTCACGTCGTTCAGAGAACCTGGGAGAGTCGAAGCCGTGATGTCCAGGGTCAGGTACCCGAAAGTCAAAGATATAGTCTTCAGAAGACGCCGCCCCTGTCGAGATCTACTTCGCCAACGGTAGTTGCATCTACGCCAATTAGACGGGACAAAAAGAACTTGGAGAGTTCAGTCACACCTAGAGAATCTAAAGGTGAGTGCTAGTAAAATAAAACTATAATAAATTGAGAGCGAAATTACATTAACGTCAATATACCATGTCAATACCAATGTCAATAATCAGTCTATTTAAAACTGTTTGGAATTCGCAAACCTATTTAAAATCATAAATCTCGTTACATCTGCTAGCGGCGGGCCAATCCAAATACAAGATCGGCGAGTCCTTCCGTAAACTTGTGGGTAAATTACGTTCGGCGAGTAGCGAGAGAAAAAATAAACGTGGCGGCAGCAACTCGATGTCTCAGCTTACGCAGACCGAGGACAGTTCAACTTACCTGCAGTACAACGTCATCGACAGGAACATACCCCTAGTGAGCGAGTATGCAACACAATCAAATGACAAACCACCCGAGCGACCACCACGTTCCCCAAAGACACAGAACAAGAGTGGCAAGGTTACGAGGACCATAGAAAATCAGGAGCAACAATGGCAAAGGGAATCAGGACCTCCAGTTCATAGGTATTACCTGGGTGAGGATCCCTTCGGCGGTAGTATTTACGGTCGTGAAAAAGGATACAAAGACGCACGACCACCTGGAAGACACCGGAACGTACCGAGAGCCGCTATTGAAACTGAACACAGGTAAAGTTAATTTACAATCAGGTTAGGTTAGATTACTTCTCATTTTATTATATTCATGATCACCGATTCAAGATGCAATATATTTTCTTCAGTGCCATGGAATCAAGCTCTCTCGGGAGGTTCAGCAAATCTACCAGCAGATTGGCTAACGAGTACGAGGGTGAAGAACATTTTCGTAGTGCGCAGACGTTACCGAGGAAACTCCATTATTCCAGTCAGCCACGGCAGAACCAATCGGCGTCGCGGCGCCATGCCAATTTGAATTCGAGTCTTGTCGGTAAACAGGGAAACACACATTCTCCGTTACAGGCGACATTGCGCTCCAATCAGAATCGACAATACGGCAGCATGATTAATATTTCTATTAAAAATACAGTGACTGCACCCAAGATCAGTAAACAGACAAATAATCAGGCTCCTGCAAAGCCTGAAAGAACGTACAAGTCCTCTTTAGCTCGCAGTAAGAGTTTTAACGTGGAAGCCAATACAAATGACGACCTGTCACCGTCCACGACCTACAAGTCGAACTTGCATTTAAATCGTTTGGGTGAGACGCCACCTTTGAAGAGTCCTGGCATTCTTGCTAGTATCAGTCGCAGTAATAGGGATCTATTTAAAGCAGATAAATACGAGTACTAAAATAGCAATGGCATTTAGTGAACTCGTAAAAGTTGATCCTTTTCACAGAAAATACATTCCAGGGTGGAACATCTACTTCCCTTCAAACCCTTTTGTATTACTAACGTTTAGGCCTTTCTAGCTTTAAGTTATTAATATTAACACGAGAGTAATTTACACTTTCTAACTGCTGTCATTTTACCAGACTTATTGTCCAATAAAATTTCTCTTTTTTTTATTTTATATATATATAGATATAGATAGATTATAAGAAATAAGTTGTTCGGTTAATAATATGAATACTCGTACTTACTTCCTACCTCTCACTAATTAATGCTTGCTTTAACGATGCCTGTGAAATAATATAACAGAGCGGAGTGATTCACTTGAGAAGGGCATTCCGGTACAGTTTATTATATTATGACTTCAGCATTAAATGATATTTATTCTACAAGGCATTTATTTCGTCTTCTTCTTTCTCGTCTCGCCTCGTGAGACAATTCGAAGCTTCTTCACAGTAAGGATCAAGATAATCGCGTTAACGATGTAATTGCTCACACACACGATGCAGATGTCATTCAGTAAATATAAAATACAAGCCAGGTAAACACTACTGATATTCGCAAGTATTCCTAAAGCTAACAATGCGAGTGTGCTCGAGTAATAATTCAAAGTACCTGAAAAGAGAGGGAAAAGTTATCAACCTAGAATTCATATTTTTGTTATGCATTTAATAACGAATGAACCTACTGAGTATTAAGACCGTGAAATAAAAGATAAGACCGTAGATACTATTGGGAGCGTACAGTATAGAATCCTTTGGAATAAGTCCAAATCCTTTTCCGTATCTGAAAAGAAACGTATGAATAAGTCATTCGGTTTCTCCGGAACCGCCATTTTTTTGTTCGACTGTTACCACCACGGTCTTACATACAGGTCTTGCAACTCGCCCAATTTTCAGCGGTGGGGGTAGACGTGGTTTTGAAGCACGACACATTTTAAATTTTAGTCACAAGCGTCGCTGTGATCGAGCGACCCCCTTATCTGTCTCACTCTACAGTCAGCTGTGGGAGAGAGAAATAGGAACGGATCGCTTGATCGCAACGCCTCTTGTGGTCATGAAACGAAATGAAAAATGCTTCTAAAAGAAGACTACCCCCTTCAAGGGAGTTTCAAGACCTGTATGTACGATCGTGGTTACCACAGCGCCATGCACGGCGTATTTCTGAAGCTGATGAAAAAAATGTTCTCCAGATGCTTACTTGGACATAAATGCCTTAGTGCAGCTCACATGTTCGCTAATGTCGCACATTGCCTCGTACAAATTGTCTTTCTCCTTGGCGGTTTCTACTACGTATGCGTAATACGCGAGTCCTAGTCCAGTTAGACAGGCTGATATCAATCCGGCATTTAATCTCCCGTAAGACGCATGGTTCGCCATTTTGACACACTTTTTTCCGGTTAGATACTTGTCAAGGAATAGAAGCAGGGTAAAACTTATCCGCCTCGAACGTTGTTTCTTTGCCGACTGACCTTTGCTATAGTGATTGTCTACGAATATGTAAAACGTAAGAGGGGATAATTATGGTAGGATACTATATTTTGATAAGAATTTTTTATGTTGGGTTTGAAAGCTTTGATTGGTTTCGAATGTATACAGACTTTCGTTTGTGGTCACGCGAGAGCAAGATGCGATAACTTTATGCAGGCTTTTGGAATATTTCGGCAATTCTGCGCAACCGCGATCGATTTTCTACATTGACAATGAAAGGAGTTTCGCATGAATATTCAATGCTGTAGGTTATCTTTATGCATTGTGTGCATTTGATTGGAAACTGAATCGCCGTCACCATTTATAATACGTAATATGTGTCTAATGTGTGTAAAGGTAGATTTTTTTTCGATAGAATTTATTTCGCACCTTGTAACTGTACAATACTTAATTTGTTTTTAAATTTAAAGGATTTAAGATCAAGAACGGTACAGCTATCAAAGTAAATGAAGGACGAAAAAAAACTTGACGCGATTACGGATTTCTTTCATGTAATAACCGCTTCATGTTTCAAATGGCCACTTCTTATTTTACATTTGTTCCTGGTTTTTGCTTTTCACTTTGTTTAATCTACTTGTGAAAATCTCAAATGCAAAGGAACACTCGTATCTTATTCAGTATAAAATATTACAAAATAAATTCAGAACTATTAATCGAAAAAGATTGAAAAGACTGTCTGGTCTTAAGAGAAATATGTTTCGCGTTTAAATTCACGTGTCTTTATGATTTAAGGATTTTTTTCTATAGTATTGTAGTAATCTTTTCAATACCAAATCCAGGATGACAAAAACAAAAGAAAGATGATCTTGTCCTTACAGACCAGTCTTACATGGATAAAGGTAGAGCCAATAAGTATTGGTATATCTTAGACATAGGATTTACTCTTGAGGTGCCATTGCTCTAGCTTGAGCTTTTACTCGCTTCTCGTACTCCAGACGATTTTGACTGAAATAAATAAATTTCAGTTATAATACACTGCTTTGACCTTGAGCCTTTTTTTTTCATTTTTTTTTTTAAGTACCAATATATAGTATAAGCTTCAGCCTGTGCTGGATCCTTGACATTGGGCTCGTTAAGTAAGTCCTGGATACCAAGAAGGATCTGTTTGATAGTGATAGCTGGCCTCCAATCCTTTTCTTCGTCCAAGAGTGATAGACATACTGTTCCGGATGGATATACGTTAGGATGGAAAAGGGGTGGTTCAAACTTGCACTTTGGGGGACTCGAGGGATAATCATCTTTGAAGATCATACGTAGCTTGTATAATCCACCTTCCCAGAAAGTCTGCCAAACAATAACGATACATTTGTCTTCTCAGTTAAAGCTTTTCATGTTTCTTACTTACAGATTTCTTTCCTGGTATGGCACATTCCCAGCTCATCAGATTAAGTGTACCATCTGGATTTTTAGTTGGTCGAGCCACGAATCCCTGAAAGTGGATTACTAGTCACACAAGGACCTTACGAAAAATTGTCCATGGATTGACACATTATGATGCTGATAACCTTCTATATAATATATTAGATTATTACAGTTATCAAACAAAATTTCTTATGGTTTCAATACAGGGAGAAAGGTCTAACTGTTTAAGTAATCTAAATGTCCAAATTTTTCTTTATAGAAATAATACTTACAAAAGGGTGATCCTTCCTCCATGCTTTTCTCTCCTCCGCGAGTCTGGCAATTGCAATCCCTGACATTTCTACCGAAGAAACACGGAGTTCCGAATTCAGCTAAATACCCGTGAAGATAACTATTCCGAGAAAGAAGTGTTTGAATATAAGCAATTTTGATAACGACGCTACCGATTTCAAATGTTTAGGTATTTCTTTTTTCATATAAGTTTGTGCAAAGAAAAACACTCTCCACGACAAAAGCGTACGATACCAAGTTAAACAGTCAAACAGAAATGAGAAACAGCGTTCTGAAAACTATACGAAACACAAAATCTGGGATTGCGTTGTACATGAAAACCCGGCATTAGGCAATGCATAAATGAGTATATTTTATTAGTACCTGCAAGTCACCACAAGGAGGCGCCGCAAGTTTATCACGTGACAAAGAAAAAAGGCGCCATTAGCATTCATAAATTAAACCATAATTTAATATTCGCCATACCATAAATTAAAGTACAGACCAGATATTTTAAAATTATTGAAATGTAAGGAAGCAAAATTGTATCCATAAAAAAATTACAAAAATTTATCTTGTTCACCAAAAATTATCTCTAGTATGAATATATATTTCAACTTGTCGTTTCGCGTATTACTTCGATTCCGCATAATTAAATTGTTTTTTATTTCATTAATCAAAGTATAGAATTGACCACCGAGGAAAGTAATATTGAAAAATATAACATAGCAGGCCAAACAAAAAGTAGAATGCCGCGTCTGCGCGCGAGCTTGCGCATTTTCGCACCATTAATTCGTAACGTACCGCCGCTGTTTACGATATGCATTACGTAGAAGGTACCTGTTAGCATGGTAAATATTTAGTCGACATTCTGTTTCATTCTGAGACGGTCCGCACCACATATCGAATCTGTGATATTCTTCTATTATTATTTAAAAAATATTTTTATAATCGTAAATCATTCGTGATCCAAAAAATCATTCGTATATCATCCCAGCTATATAAATATATATTCTATTGGATATAAAACAGTTTCATTTTTATAAAAAATAAAAAATAACTTTGATACTTTTTAAGCAGCAATGAAAAAATACTACACCATATACATATATCTGTAAGTAAATAGAAAAGTAAAAGAAATCTTCATTTATATGCCCGTTTACTACGGGTGCGTGTCGAAAACAGCAGACAATTTATCCAATTCTTTGTTCTTTACTCTTTGCGCAAATGTCTTATCACGTAAACAGTCTACATAATTTACAATTATTAATCACTTAATTCGAAATGACGTTTCTCAGACATTCATCTATTTCAGTCCACGATTGTTTCGCACGTATGGATCCCCTGATTAAATACCAAGTTAATTGATTAATTTGATTAATCGACAATCGTATATAAATGAATACAAAAATTAATGTTTATTCCCCAGTTTGCCTACTTTAAAATATATTTTAAAAAGTAACTGAAAGATTACTGTACGTTAATTAAATAAATACTAATCTTTTCAAAAGAGACGCACGAGTTTACCGGGTTTCTCAGATAATGTCTTTCAGTCTTTGAATTTATATAATTTCACGTCTCAAAGTCATATGGCAAACTTTTCTTATATTTACTCTATGCGATAATGAGTCTAGGCTTCTTGCGTAAGATAAAACTCTTTGGATTTCCATAAGAGCGACAATCTTACTCAAGCACTCTTTAAGTAATGTAGAAGACGATACTGCTGCAAACGGATGAAGTCACGAGTTCTTTTCCTCACCTGCTCCTCTGACGGTTCTTCTTGCTTCCAAGAGAGGAGCCACTGTTGACACAGAGTTTAGGACTTATCAGATAATTGACAGAAAAGTAATATACTTAAGGCTCTCAATTGAAAACTAAAGAACGATGCTATTTCACTAAGGCTGTACATTCAAAGTAGAATTATTTTCAAACTAAGTTAATGATAAACCTCTTTAAAATTTTTTCAAAACTCAATCCCCTCTTACCATAATTAAACTCACAGTTGTTATATCTGTTTAAAAGATTTCGCACGTCTCTTCAGCAAATATAGTCACTCGTGACGTAAAGCTCAGTGCATACGTAGATATTACCTTTTTCCAAGATATCTATAAGCATGTCCAATTTGACAAAAAAAAATCCAACGGCGTTTTTTCCCGTGACTCTTTCCGAAATTCCTCATAAGCTGATCTCAAGTCTAGAGCAATAGTGTTCCAAGAAAATAAACCTTCGAACAGCCGTGAATAATGAACTCGCTCGAACGGCTTTATTGGACTAGCTGAGAAAGAGAAACATAAATGCTTAAGAAAGTTTGCACAACATCAATAACATGTTAGCGTCTCCTCCTCATATTATTGTGCTTAAGCGCACCACCTGTAGTTGCGCGCCTATTTGATTCTTATGGTAAAATCATTTCAGATGGTGCGTTTCAACAGAACGACGTCTTTAATCTTTTATCTATAGCATAGAGTGTCATATACATATATAAATATATCCATATACCTTGTAAACTTGATATAGATTTTTCAGCGTCGCCCACGGAAAATCTGAGTCTGATTAGATAGGAGTATACATGCTGTATAGTACGCGAATGCTCCTTTAATTTTTATTAGAAATCTGTTTCGTTATGCTTGAAGCCATCGTTAAATCATTTCAGGAAAATTCTCCTTGTCGTGGTAATAATTCAAAGTCTTGAAATCCTCGCAAGCAATAAGCGTCTGTGCGAATTTCATGAAGAACACTCTGACAGTGATCTCGTTGGATGCAAATCAGAGGATGATGAACAGCATTTAATATGCATCGGTGGTCTTCATGGTAAATGGGAATCTGGGTAATGATCTATAGATCCTATATACATAGAGAGAGAGGGACAGCGGTTAGATATATTTACAAGTATTGAAAAAAGTCCTTTATGATATTATTTGTATTTTCTTATCTGTCAGTTCAAAAACCGTGCGAAAACTCGTTCTGTGCAAATGGCCGGAGAGAATTTTGGATCCAGAAGAGGTTCTCTTGAAGTTTCCAGCAGTTAAAAGGTTCAGCGTGCTGGCGAGTAACATAACCAAATTATCAAAAGTATTCCCAGCCGAAGTTCAGAATCTCGAGGTAAAACGTGCGTAACCTTAATACAGTGTATTAATATTGAAGATTTTATTTCAGTCTTTGTTTATACAGAAAATAGCATTGAGTGGCACGAAACTGGAGTATTTACCAAAGGGAGCCTTTTTAAATTTATCTACACTAAAGAGCTTGGACCTCAGAAATAATTCTCTGCGTGAAATCGATCCGAACGAAATTGAAATAGCAACCCTCAAGCATATATACCTTTCTGGCAATCGATGGAAGTGTTCGATAAACAATCAATGGATTTTAAACTCACGGAACGGATCCGTAGCCAGTCGAGTTATCGATAGGGATAAATTGGTCTGTTCGACGCCATTTGACGGCAGACAACTTCTCTCGGTTGTTGAGATAATTGTGGTAATTGAAGGAACGTTTAACCTATTTCTTGAATATTCATCTGAAACTGACAGTAATTACTTGGCACTGTAGACTCTAAAGGAAGAATGTCAAAGGACAAACTGCGACTGCGAATTGGTATACATCGCCGTACGTTCCGGTGCGAAATTCAACAGCCAGAAACGACTGATGGTATTCAATTCCGTAAACTGCAGTAACAGAGGCATAACGGAAATGCCAACTTTCTTACCGGCTAATACAACGACCTTGCACCTTTCAGGAAATAATGTAATTCATTCTAGAGTGGGACAAGTAGTAATTCAACCGTTATTATATATTAGGATTTTTTTTAGATAGCTGATTTGACTCCATTAATAACCAATCCAGTATACAAAGGAGTTATCGATATTTATTTGGATAATAATCTAATCGAATCTATTGCTTGTCTAGAGGGATCCTATTGGCTGGATCATTTTCGAGTATTGAGTCTTCGCGGTAACAGATTGTCAGATGTGAGTATTAATTATTTATGTAATTAATAACATCCAGATGTTTCGGTTAACTCTAAATCCAGTGAATTGATACCTGTGCTACGTTCAAAGTGTATTTTCCAAAGATTGATGTTTTGACTAATTAGTTGGGTTGTTAATTATAAATGATGAGAATTCGATAAAATTATTTTTTAGCTTCCCACTTATGCATTGGAGAACGCTTTACTGCAGAATGCAAATGCAGCTTATATTCGTCTGGGAAATAATCCTTGGAGTTGCGACTGTCTCTTCACGCCAGGATTTCAGGATCTTTTAATCAGATACACGAGCCTCGTTAAGGATGTGAACGATGTCAAATGTTCGAGTGTTGTTCAGGATAAAAATTCAAATAAGCAGGTGAACAGATGGATTCCCAGATACAGATGACAAGTACATTGGTAGAATTAATTTCGGATGATCCTGACTTAATGATATTATATGGTTATGGCTTTTCTTTGTATGTTGATTACATACGTCACGACGGTACACCTGTATTTTTCTTGGGTACCAGAAACTAAATATAGATTAAGGTTAAGCGCCGTCACTGGTAGTTTGTCATTGCTCACGAGTCGTTAAGCTCTGACACGGGAAAATCGATGCAAAACTCTAATATTGGGTCGATATCGATTTTGTCCATGATCTTCCTTTTTTATTTTACTTTTTTTAGATACGTGATCTTACGAGGACAGCCATCTGCATTCCGCCGGACAGTGAATATGGGCTGCAACCGTTGGATATCATGAATATTGTTATGGCCTCTTTGATCTTCTTTATTCTTGGAAAACTTTTATATGATTGTTGGTTCTTCAAGAGGACTGGACAATTACCGTGGATTGTTGCCAAGATACCGTAAAAATTCTAAAAGATCTTAAAAAAGAATATTTAAGTCATCGAACTAAGTGTATATATATATGTATATATATGAATTTGAAAAACGATCAAAGTATAGTCTTCCAAAATATAGTGTATAAAATATTTTAATGTGACGTATCCTCATCGAACGACACTTTTGCGATTCTATTTGTATGTAAATATATAGATATAGTAGGAGTGATAAATAATTAGTTTTTGCTGGAAGGATTTTTGGAAATTTTACGATGCTTTTGAATCAGAGCTTTGGCAGCCTTTCTTCTAGCATCCACTACGCTTGATCCAGAACCTGAAACAGTACGGCGTGTGTTTAGAGTCTTTATGAATTAAAAGAAAATTAAGAAATATAAGTTTAATACCACGAGAAATGAGGCCGAGTGCTTTACACGTCACATTGTATTTCAAACCACCTAGAATCATTTTTTGGTTTACGATGAAGATCGGTTCCGGAGCTTTTTCCTTTTCGCAGAGTCTATATAATTTAACAACGTGACTGGCCGAATCACTGCTAGTGATGGATTCATCCCCACTGCCCTATGGTAAAGGTTAACGTGGAGTTGCTATAAAGGTATCAATAAAACGGGAGGAATACCTGAGTATCTATCTCATTGGTTTTTGAATTTTTCATTCTTCCTGGACTTTGATCTTTAAATTCTCCATCCGGTTCACTTTCGGTAACCGATAATAAGACTTCCGGTTCATTGATAGTTCCTTTTATGAGATTTTTCTCATAAGCTTTCAGTTCAGCATCATTGTGTTTGCTCGTATCAACTACTTTGCTGAGTGTAGAAATTGTTTTGACACGTCTCAATGCAGGATCTTCCTCTTGAATATCCTGCACAGTGATTACCTGGTGCAGGGGATTATTTTTCGATGAAAAACACTTCTTCTCGAGCTCCTTAGAATCTTCTCTTTTCTCATCAGCAGAAGCGAGGAACGCACGATGATCGTCCTGATCTTTGTCCAGTATAAAAGCGCTCTCCGTAGTTGGATAAAGACTGTGCATAACCCCCTCATCCACCACTTTGGCCCATCCTTCAAGGCCGGAAGTATTTTTAGCGTTTCTGTCGTTCTTTGTTGATCCTTGAAAAGGAAGGAAATTTCCACAGTAATAGTGTGTCCCAGAATAATGAGGGGTGGCTTTGAAAATACTGGAATTTACAGTGAGCTACGTAGAGATCTAGGTAAATGGAAAATAAATGACCGACCAGAGTCATTAGCGGCTTCCCGCCTCAGCTACGCAAATAAAGTAATAACGTGTAGCGTCGGCGATGCCTCTCCACAAGCATAAGCCAGCAGACCGGGTACGATCAAGCCCAACGAATGTCGGGAGTGTGATTAATGAGAAAATCCTGGAATATATGTCCCTTTCAGCCCAAAGAGGAGAAAACAATCGATCAAACCAGGTCGCGCATAGCTAGGCAAAAACTTCCCAGTAACGTCCTGCCGATAAGGCTTAGATTTCGGACTACCAAAAAGTACCATAAGAAAAACATTCTCTGTATGGGGTAACTAGGATATGTACGCTCGTCATCTCCTGATGCAAAGATCCTCGGACTATCTTCAATATTTCTCACAGATTTTTTACCATCATCTTCTCTTTGTTTCGTATCCTCTGATTCATCTTGAACGGAGACTTCGGGCGTAATTACTTTAATCTCTTCCTCCTCGACGTAGACCTTCTCAATGGATTTTGAGGTTATGAATTCGCTATGGACGTCTTCCTCAGGGACTAGATACTCCTCGTTTACTTGTATCTTCGCGTCATTCGTCTCGGAAACCTGCCGAATCGAATAACGATTATCATAACCATTAATAATGTCGTTGGAGGGACGTACATCTTTTTCGTGAAAATCCTCCTGTACTCCTTGAGACTGATATGAACTCAAAATTCGATCTGGGTAAATCTCCTCCATGGAATCGGATATCTGAAGGGTGCTGGAACTTCCTGTACCGAAAAGAATACGTTATGTTGATGCAAAAGCTACTTTGTGATACTATTTATAAATTTACCAAGTATATGGGTGTAAGGAGACTTGAGCTCCTGCAGAAGACTTTCGGCACGACTTATGGCTGTTTCCATTTCGCGCAGAAGTGGCGCAAGGTTAGGATATCTCTTGGTAATAATTTCCCAAGTAACCTCCGCATCCTCTTCGCCCTCCAAGAATTTCGGGAGGGACAATTTCGTATAAGCTTCGTGGTCCTGGCCCTTGTCTTTCTCCGACATTCAGGACCAATGTTCCTCTTCCGCTTCCGGTACTCTAACTCGTTCACTAAATTTCAATCGATGTCTAAATACCGTCACAAAATCAGTGACCCGTACGAGTCAAATTGCCAAATGAGGCAAATCGCAATTGCCGAGCGATTAAAACAAAATCTCATCGTTTTCCACGATTCGTTCCAATTGATAAGTTTACGGATCATTGAGCGATTGGCAAGCCTGTATTTTCGAGAAAGATTGAAAATGTAAAAATTCACAGAGTCAGTTCAGTGTCAGCATTATTCTTTCTTTATCTTTTTCCCATTTGCAGACGCACGACCTCTCTTTCTTTTTTTCGTTTCTCACCCATACTGTGTATAACCTAAAACAGAATAAACCACGCCAACCGGATATCACGTACTCAGCCATAAGAAAATGTCAAATAAGAATCTCAGTGAAGAGATCAAACCACGTGAAAGCCCACAAGACTCTTGACATTTCTCACATTAAAAATTGCTCGCAGAGCTCGTTAAAAATAAAAATCCAAACGATATTCCTACCGAATGATATCCGAGCGTCGCGGTGCATTCTGCATTGTTGCGTATGCACGTTCATATCCACGTTTAACGACTTTCTTTAAAGCTTCTCGCGGCAAGATCCTACAACACTCTTTACGATCTCTTTCTATAACGTTATATAAATTTATGAATGGTAGTGTGACGAGAAAGGAAGTATTGAGAAAAATTAAGGCGGAGCGAACATAACCTACAAACTCATATCCGAATCTTTTCAGCTCTCTGTAACATGTAACGTGACTTGATGTGTTTGAGCGCGGTGAATCGTTTTATTAAAATTATAAACAAGGGATTACAATACATTCGTGTAACTTGGGCGTGTCACTTTAATACTCGCATAGAAACGTCGTTGAATCAAGGCCTCTTTGATTCAAATAGATACGCGTGTGTTTTACGTCGCTGTCATTCGTTCATACATTTTTCTTTGCAATTTCTCTACATATTCCACGACCCTTACCTCATTACATGTGTATACGTAAATACGTAAATCCCATACGTACTTCATATAGCAATTCGTATCTTTATCCTTCATTATGCTTAATCGCGGGTTCACTTAGTTTGGACACTGTTATTTACTACAATTTCACCTTGTAAACTTTCAAAGAAATTCAACGACCACGAGAAGAGCAGACGACATAATGGCTAGCAGAGGCACTCGCGATTATCGCCGCCATCTTGAATATCGATATATCGTTAATCGATATTCGACGTATAGACGTTATTCTTCCTATTCGTATTCATTTGTGTTGCACATTTTCGCGAAAGGAAGGGCCGATTAAGAGTCTTCTCGTTAATAAATCGGATTGTTGATACGCTTACTTCTATCACAGCATACAGATGTTACGCGTTACCCATACGGTGCGGCTTTTTCTTTTTTTTTAGGTTAATTATTTTCCTATATCATTCATTTTAATGGTTAATTACTATACATCGATCGCTACTTCCCAGTGAAGCCTCCCACACGAATATCAAACCTAGATATATGTATATATATATTTGTATATATTTATATATACCTATGTATACCTGGGTACGTTATACTAGAATGTATATGGTGTATAGTGTCTAATGTTTAATGTTTTTGTTCAATGTTACTAGAGAATTTATGCGTTTCCTCATGTGTCTCGTTACTCTTCTCTCAAAGTGACCGTTTTGTTTTTATCTTCGTTATCGTTAACTCTGTTTTTAACTACATAAATACAACTGTGCGGGTTTCTCTTGATTTTCAGTGTACGAGTAGCTACGGGGACTGTTACAAAATTGATTGGAGCAACGAGAATCAACACGCCGGACTCTATGCTGTCTGATTAAGGATTAACGTTGGTCGTTATGTAATTGTTTGAGCGTTCTATCTCTTCTTCTATGTGTTTCGCCCAACCTTTACCTTCCCGTTTTACTTGTTGCCCTGCGATACGTGAGCCAAGCAGTCATCCAATCATTTGACCAGTCACCAGTCACCTGGGCTAGACAGTCAACCAGTTGCTGCTTATCCAAGATGGCCGTTACTAATGAATTTTTATATTTTTTTTTTCACGTAGATCTTGACCCTGTACTACGTTTTTGGGATAATTACGAGTGGATTCATTATACCAAGGAAACGCAGACTGTCTGCTTGTGATTTGATTGATTTTCGCAATACTATGGTTGTCCTGCATCTTTGACAATCAGACTGGTTTAACTTTGATCTTGGGTAGAAGTGGAGGAGGCGCCCGGGTGAGATTATAAAAAATCATGGCTATTCACACGGTAGTTTCGATATTGGCGATGGCGTATTGTCAACAAATACTATCCTTCCCATAATTCTCCAGGTACATCTCCTGAGGCGTGGCGAGATTGTATCGTCCGCCCAGTCGACTTCCGGTAAGACCGTTGTTGTGATGGGTGTGATTAACATGGAGATGATTCACGTTTATCGCCACGTTTTTCTTCTTCTTACGTGCCTTGTGACGATAGAGGCAGTACTTTAGGCAGCCGGTTGCCAATAACAAGATCAGAAATATACCAAGAGCACCAGCACCCACTGCGACGTATAATAAAGTCACCCCGAACCTGTACGAACAGTTTGCTTCTTCCTCGTCGAATCCAGAAGGACAGTGACGCACGCCGTCGCACCAGAGCACTGAACTTATGCATGCTTGAATCTCTGGACACCTGGAGGAAAGGAAACCGGTATCATGGGGTTGAGATTGATCTTTGAAAAAAAAAGACAAGAGGCTAGTCCCTTCTTATTACCTGTAAATACAATCTTCGTTAGGTGTCACGGAGAAGGAACTGGAGCTGACACTCGTTTTCGGGGAGCCCTTCGATATGGCCATCCAAGTGACGGCATAGAATCCTGGTTCACGCTGCAGGAACTCGACGACGAAGCTTCTAGAGTTTTGGAGCATCGGGATGGTCCCATTGAAATCTGTGTAATTCCATCCGACAGAGAAGAAATCCACGCTTTTGGTGGTATCCGAATTTCCCTCGGGACATATAACACTTCTCTCCTTGGTATTACCCGCCGAGTAGACGATGATCCTGTTCAAGGTGCTACACTCTGCTACGTTCTCCACGTTTATCCCGTAGCCGCTGGTACGTAGGTAGAGGAAATTCATACGTGGATCTTGAGGCTCTATTAACCAGGGTTCGTTGACGCATTGGGTGGCCGTGAGATCTTCGGTGTTCATCATGACTTCTTCGACTGCAGCTACATCCGGTAGCACGCGTGGAAGTGGACTCCTCAGGGATATTTCTCCACTGGTGCCGTGAAGTTTACGGTCTTCTAGTCTGGTAGAGCACGCTTGATCCCCAGCTTCGCTTCCGGTCACAAAGCGATACTCTCCTTCGAAGAAGAAGTTCCTGTAGTCCTGGGTGACATTCATACGCGCGACTGCGAACCGTAACTCGACAATGCTCGAGGTCAAAGTCCTTATAATAATTCTATCTGTGATATTCGAGCAAAAGCAATCCCTTCGGAGTTCTACTCCTCTCCAGGGATATTCGGAAATCACCAGGTCTGCTAGGATCTCTTTTTTTTCTGGGGAGTGATAGCCACACGCCCAACGATTCACCAGAGGATCCATGTACGAGGTGCACTCCCTGTCGCCAAAGGAGGCCGATACGATCGACAATTCTACCCTCTGATCAGGCTCAGCTTCAAATCGATAAACACAGCTCAGATTTTGAGAACCACCACGACCGTAAAAGAAGACACTCTTCGGCGAGGTAAATTTACCAGATCTCGCGGAAGAAGAGGACGACGAAGATGAGGATGTTGAATTGGACGACGAAGTAAATATCTGGTTACACGACATGGACTCGTGAACGAATTCATATCGCAGTACGAAACTTATTGGATAGAGTGCACTTCCTTGACGAAGAACGTGCTCCAGGGTAAGATCCCTTCCGGTTGAGACGTAACTCTCTGCGAGGCTGCAAGGTCGAGTGTGACGGCTGCTGTTGCGTAGAAGACTATGATCACAAAGATGAGGAATGTCATCCTTACAAAATTGTCCCATCAGCGTGACATTCTGAAAAGTATAAGAAGTCAGCGTCAATATCGCACTATCAACGCACTTCCGGTTTGCGTACTTCTTTATTCCAGGATCGGATCGAATTAAAGGAAGGAAGAGTTTTCTAACCTTCCTAGTTGGCTTGTTCGAATAATGGTCCCCGTCCCATATGAGCAGCTTAGCGTTGCAGTCGGAAATGACGTCAAGACTCGCAGCAGGATCGGAAGTAGCCGCATAGTACTTGACGAACGATATCCAAACAATTTCATTAGGTTTCCCTTGGAAGTGATAACGACAGGTCGTATTAGGCGGCAAGGAATGCTTAGGATTTTCTAATAATCCAGACGAGCTCTCATAGCTGGATATATGGAAGTGACAGTTGTCGTTCTCCTTGACGAAGGTTCTTGACTTCTCGTCAACGAATATCACCTGGACCTCTAATTCAAAGCCCGGTAGGAACGAGAGCGGAACCGGATGAAATGGATTGTCGAATGGCGAGGTGTGAAACTCCAATAACATCGTGTTGTGACTACTAACGATATCCGGGACAGCATCGCCGCCGCACAAGCGCACCAGGACTCTGTCGGTGGTCGAGCCTCCGTCATAGACAGTCAGGTAGTCCTGGACGACGTTACACTGATCCCATACTCGTAAAATCCTTTGACTCCTGTCATACTTGACAACCTGATCTTTTATATGGATCTTGTGACTATTCCGTTGACTGACTGCCAGTAGAGCACGGTGCCCTGGAGGTGCTCGAAGTTGCTCCACCCGGTAGTAGCAGGTTACGTTGCGTGGATAAACTCCAGGGTAGTTGGGCGACTGTAGCCGACAAGCGCGAGCGTCGCACCTGGTGAGGACCCTGTCGCAGTAGGTGCCGTTAACCAATTCACCGCGCCAGGTCGTCATGCTGCTGTTCCCGTATCTGAGGTGAGCTTCGCTTCTTCTCAGGAACTTGTACGAGAGCTTGAAGTCGAAGTTGTAGCCAACACCCTGGGGTAAGATCGATTGCTCCAGGAATTTCTCAATACACACATGTTCTTATTTATAGGTTAGACGATCCTTGGCGGTTACCTGCTCGGAGAGCCGCGACAGGAACAAGGTCAGGTTGATGGAATGTGTCTCGCTGTAATAGACGGTGTATCCCCAAGCACTGCCGCACCACTGACCTCCTGTGGGCGGGCGTCCCTCCTCCCGTATGCTCATAAATCCATCGGGACATCCTTCGGAGGTGAACGAGAGGAATCGACCGACGGTAAAGGTGTCAAAGGTAAGCTATAGAAAAATCCACAAAGAATTCTTCTGTCTCTGCCAGAAACTTTTATTACATACGTATATGTATACATTACAGACGAAACTCTTACCTGGACCAAGTCACCCAGATCAGCACCAGCAGCCGTAAAATTGAGATGACATAAGAATGGCAATCGATCTTCCCGTGGACGGCGTACCTCCACCTCGTAAGTCCTCCCAACGTCGCCGTACAGCGTTCTATTGCACGCTACAAGAAATAAGAATCCCTACGTATAAGCTGTTTGGACCACTTCCAAGGGATATCTCCAGGTATAAATTTGTTTTTAGATTTTTTACTTAATTTTGAATTTAAACGAAAATCTCCCAACAGACTCACGGGAGCAATATCTCGGCTCGTCCGACTTGTCCTCGCAGTCGTCCTCGCCATCGCAAAATTTATCCTGAGCCACGCACTCCCCGGTACCGCAAAGAAACTCCGACAGCTTACATCCTGTTATCGTACCCAAGGACGAGGATGGCGGTGAGGTTGTAGTAGAGATGAGCGAGTGTCCCGGGTAACCCGAGAAACCGGAACTCTCCTGGAAACTAGCGGACGCCGCAGAGGCTTCGACCGAGACCGCGATCGCGGCTGCGATCAGCAACCGCTGGCACACCAACATGCCCCCTCACCCTGTTGGAAAATTCAAATCAATAACGACACATATCCACGTATCATCTCTCTCTACGTGGATGTATTAATTCTGACTGTAACGTCAGGTCTGATCGTAGCTCTGATAGCAGGTTCAGCCCACCTCGTGTTTCTCTGCAAGTGCGTTCTGTCCTTGTCGAACAAGACAAATGGACTTTCGATAAGAGCTAAGCATTAATGCAGCCCAGGTGCGCGCGATTGGAGAGAAAAAAAAGGCTGGTACTTTTTTTCCCGTTTACCTCAATTTAAGAGCGAAACGAAATCGCGATCCTGGATACAATGCATATTCGAATTTCGTACTGAGGCTCACTTGGGTTTTCCCGACTGCACCAGGCTTTAGTAAATATCGATCCTTATATCAGACTTCAACTTTTGAACGTTTTGCACTATCGACCCTACCCGGTCAAGTTTTTTGGTTCCGAATTGAGCATTGTCTTGCTCCACCCTTTTCCTAATTTCTCGGATTCTTATTGTACCACTGAAAAAAATTCTAAATAGTATCAAATCATATAATTATTGAGCTACGGGTGTTCCTAGCCTTTTTTTACATATCATACATAGTATAATCAGACAAACTATCTCCAGTACCAGTTACAGTAGGATTAACCAGTGTCATGATATGTCTAATGTGAAAGTATTTTTAATTTTCTCCAATTTCCTTTTTTCCAGGCACAATAGTAACGCCTGCATTGTTTAGTACTCGGCGCTTCGGAGTCGCTTGGCATTTTCAAAGGAGTTCTCTCTACGGAAGGATTTATTGGCAGCCGCAATATAACGAGGGCTATCGATTGAGCGTCGTTGCGGAGTTCGGCCCTAGTCGGGGAAAAATATTGTACAGGGGGTCAAAGTGAGTGAAAGAGAGACAGACATGAAGTACCCTCTCAGAGAGAGAGGGAGAGAGAGAGAGAGAGAGTTAACGTCCGTGCGTGAGTAAACAAGAGTGATGATCCCGACCATTTTGCATGGCATTTTTTAATCGGCAGCACTTCATAACTCTTAGTGTATCCCACGGGCCTGATTCGATCCTCGGATCTTCCAGATCCATCGTTACAGAGGTTATATCCTCTATCCCACGAGACGCAGTGATACTGGATAGAGAAAAAGCCCGAGTCGTAGGGCCGAGGCTAAGGATGGGAAAAAAGAGAGATTCCGAATGGTTGGGTAAGAGAGAGAGACAGAGAACCTTTAAAAAAAAGCACGTCGATGTAGCTGCCGACAGGAAGGGGAGGAAAAATAAACGCAGAGCTGGCAAAGTCTCCGGTGGTTGACGGAGGATCGACCTTTTTTCCAACTCCGTCGGTATTTACGCTGACGTTTGGCAAAGTCCAGGATCGCTGTGTCTCCAGCCTAAGTATACCTAAACATATATAGGTATACCATTAACGTATAACCTATATATGATGTACGATGTGTGTTCCCAGGGAGCGATGGGAGATACGCTCTCGACGAAGACGTAGTGCGGGGTTGACTCGCGCCAGGAGTCTGTATGTGTAAAAGGAGTGAAGGGAATGAGGAGCGAGGGAGTGAACGAGCGAATGAGAAGTCGAGGAACGGATGACCGGGCTCGGTGAATGCCGAATATTCTGGACGCGAGAATGAATGGCCCGGGGAATTGTTCAGGGCGAGGAGTCGACGCTGGATGCAAATAGAGAACGGATTGTGAAACTCTAAAGGAGCGTAGGACTTGGAGGAGGTGGCGGTGGAGGAGGATGGGGATACGTCGAGGGTAAAGGACGATGCGGATTGACGATCGTGGAAAATTGATTTCATTAGCTCTGTTTACTCTCGTGGCTCCGACGGCACGACGGGGTCACCCGGCGTCGAGCCATTCCAGGAACTTTGACGAGGGACTGACTTGTTTACGTCGCGCTAGTAACCGACAAGCTTTGCTACACGCTCCACTTACGCGAGAGCTCCTGTCCGATCTGACAATTATACAAAGGAATAATGGAACGTTATTTGATCCCACAGAAATCATGTATACAGAGATTTTCTTGAACCATATACGTACTTGGATCTGTGAGGATCATAATTATTTATTCATAAAGTTCTGAAGGCGTCGGGAGTTTTCAAGTGACACGTGTACTTTAGTATCCTCTTGTTGCATATTATGGCAGAGTGACATGAATAACGTGGATGGGATACCTGTGAGAGCTAATTATAATAACTTAAGTTTATTAGGGTTCATATAGAGTATAAAATGTTAATGAGAAGTCTGGATGTTGGTTTTCTAATTAGTAAAGCGGTTCATTTGTTCTAGGGTAACCAAGAGTGACAGATACGTGCGAAATGAAAAAGATCTTTTCGATGTTGGAACATCTTTTTATCTGGGATACCGAATAGGTAATGTATATAGGGGTATCTATAAGTCTTGGTACTCTGGAGCTGGCAGTTTCCGCATTGACTTACGCTAACGTCTTTACTTACATGTCCAAGGATCGGCCACGTTAAACGCCTCGCGTAGACGAGCAGTGCTCGCACGAGCTGGCCCAGGAAGCCGAGATTATCTTCACGGCTTGAAATTAGTGACAGCGGAGAATCAGAGAGGAAGTGAGAAAGTAAGATTTAAAGTGGACGTCTGTACGTGCCAAAAAGAGTGAGAGAGATATAGTAAGAGTGAGGAGAGAGAGAGAGAGAGAGAGAGAGAGAGAGAGAGAGACAGAGAGAGAGAGAGGATCCGAAAAACGTCACTAAACACTATTATTTATCTATTCACCGGAAGCAACACACAGTGGTCAACGTGTACTAGCCGAATTAATTTAAAGAATGAACAATCGTTATCCCGTTCAGTAAGCGATCCGCGGGAAACAGTAAATGATGTCGTCCAGGAGGTTCCGCGGGGTCTGGCAGGTCAGTGACGCGCGTCGTGCCCAGGGCTCAGTAGACGTCGCGACGCGTCGCGCGGGTCGACCGAGACTCCGAGCGAGCGAAGCACTCTGCAAGCTCGGCCGGGCATTGGGGGGTGGCGCCGGGGTGGTCTGGGCGGCTTGGCTGTTAAGGGTGGGAGTGAGGTAGCTGGGGTAGCTCGCAAGCCCGGTGGTTACTTGCCTGCTTTTGGCTGCCTGCTTGCTTGCCTGCCTGCCAGTGTGCCCACCTACCTACCTACCTACCTACCTACCTACCTGTCTGCCCTCCTCGCTGCCACCCTGGCTGCGCAGCAGCTCCACACGACCCGGCCAAACCCAGACCCGGCGCGTTCCTGCGAGCTCCTACTCTCGAGCTCGAGCCACCCCAGCGACTCTCCCACTCTTCTGCTTTCCACCCCGCTTTCTCCTTCTCCATCTCTTCGCTTCTCTTCCCGCCTCTTCGCCACCACGTCACCATTCTCCAGTACTACTACACGAACTTGTCATCTTGCTTCGATGCCTCATTCTCATCTTTATCCACATCGAATACCCTCTGCTCCACCTTCGAAAATTCGTCTATCTACCTTTCCAACTATATAAATACTGTGTGTGTATGCTCTTCTACGAGACTACCCGCGTACAACCTCCTCCGGGTCAGCCTCTGATCAACATCGAGCCTTACCATCCTCTATATCTATTCGGTTCTCTGCTCTCTCTCCGATAAGAACTCTCCAGGAGGTGACAGTATTCAATTTTTGTTTTGCTCATCGCAGAGGAACATCTCAGTCTGGTACGATTACATTTTTCCTTGATCGATTCTACCTACAGTACTTCTCTTTCTGTATGAACTACAGTACTCGACATGCACTTAGGTAGAGATAGAATCTACATCGCATATCGCCTTTGTCCGATGCTCCAGTATATGTACTTTGGTATTTGATTAGAAACACTTTGCGAATTACAGTCTATAGATCTAACGGATATACAGTTTACTGTACTGTATAGATCTCTAATGTACAGTGATTAAGTTAACCAGTGAACTTATACCATGGTATTGCCATCTAGCGTTAAGCTACAGGCACTAAAATAAGTATTTACAGATTTAGAAATGTTCAAAATCTTACTCTGCTACGCATTACTCTATATTAGCCTTGTGCTTTGGTTTTTTTAAGTATTTCTAATTACACTAGACGGTACTGTGCATCTGCCACGGCTATTAAATACCTAATTGCTTCTGACTGTACGATACCTTTGCATAGTATTAATTATAAATAGCTATTGCAAAATCCCTGTGTAGAACGTCGGATATTCCCAATGGCTACGATCAGATTATCCTTCGATAAGTGTCTGTCCATGCTCCTATGAATGGCTGACTACTGGGAATCCTACCAACCTAGCATCCCACTGTCTCAGTATCTAAAGAGGTTCTATATGAGATTCTTCAGGACGACAGAGCCTCCTCTCAGGTTCACTCGGGTTACCCTATCAGTCGATTGATACTAGCTGTAGAAAGTGTATATGATCCTGTACGATCCTTACGATACTCAAGACTGATAATACACGCCTTCTGGTATTTCAAGCGATAAAGATCGATAAACGAGTTTTAAATCGATGCAAAGTACACCCTCATCGAGCAATTCCCGTTTGGCCATTACCGACTCGCTGTGCTCGAGTTGCTCCCTTTATTCTTTCGAGGGGCCTCGAGATATTATCTATTCGTGGTTGAACTTTTCGGCTTTGATGACGGGGAAGAGGGGGAGAATAAAGAAAGAAAATGAAGAATAAAAGAGAGGATTAAGTCTGGAGGAAATAAGTGCGATTGATTATTCGCACGCAACGCTTTTATTATTATTTTCTGTAAAAATAGAACGCTCGTATACAAATGTGTTTTTTTGGGATAATCGAAATACGTGGACTAAATATTGATGATTTGTTTAGAATACATTCATTCGCTATCTATCTTCATCAATTATCTGGTATCTCACGACTATTATAAAATGCTGATATTAGAGAATTCAGTTGAACGGATTCGCTCGTTCCTGCGATTAAGCGTTTCTCTATCTCTGCCATCTTTATCAGTAGATTTATCATGTTTTCTTTTGGCAACTCGACTAAAATTTATAGAAACAATATATTGTATTTATTAAACCTTTGTGGAAGGATTTTATATAGGATTCACTTACGTTTGCTCACGAATAAGTGTAGTTGTACTAAAATGTCCTGTAGAGCAAGACCTTTGTTTACTTTAAGCTCTTCGATTTCTGTATTTCTTTTATTAAGGAAATTGGAACGCGTTTTCAATAGATGGACAGATTGTGTTAATTATTTTTAAAAAGGATACTGCAATAGGCTAATAAATAGGACTCATTGAGCAGCCAGTGTAGGATGGTTTGTATGTCTCTAGGGAGAGGATGTCCCACGCAAGTGTAGACTGTTTGCTCAGTGACCGATCCAAATGCTAGCCAAGTACTTTGAAGGACATTTAAAACTCTTCTCATATCTCCACCGCTTAAAGTCATAAGTGCTTTTTTACCATCCTCGGTAGCTTCTACTCTGAAACATTTGATTTTTGATTGTAAGTTACTATAAAGGTTTGATGTGTATAATGTGCTTTTGATATTCTTCCTACTTTTCTTCTGCGATAACATGTTCCAATCTAGGTATAATCTGTTCTGGGTCGAGTGGTCCGAATCTGAATTTTGTACAACGTGACTGCAGTGCCGGAATGATTTTGTACAGATAATTGCAGATGATACAAAATCGTACGTTATCGGTGTACTTTTCAATTACTGAAATAATATTGAGATTACTTAGACAAATGATCGCATTGATCGAGTAATATAACTTACTTCTCCTGAGGGCATTTTGAGCATCATTCGTCATGGCGTCTGCCTCATCTAATATTATTAACTTAAATCCTGAGTTGAACATTGTTCTTGTACTAGCAAAGTTGAGAATAGGTCCTCTCACTATTTGAATACCACGACTATCTGAGGCATTTAGTTCTAAAACCTATATGTAAAACAAAGCATTAACTGTTTGTACAGTAAAAATATAACATAACAATAATCAAACAATACAGACCATGGAATTAAACTGAGCAGGCTTGTAAAGCTGTCGAGCACAAGCCAATATCGTACTAGTTTTACCAGTTCCAGGAGGTCCGTAAAACAATAAATGTGGCAGTTGATCCTCTTTGATGAATTTGTTAACTAAAAAGTAAATGTAAGTCAATAATAAATTCCATTGATTACTCTTCGTCTAACATCCACTTACTGGTGCTAATAATATCTTCATGAGAAATAAGATCATCAAGTTTGGCAGGCCGGTATTTTTCAACCCTAAAAAACAGTTTTCCATTTATCAATATTTTCTATTACGTAAATACAATTTATATCTGTATATTCACCATGGTAGACTTGTTCCTTTCTTCGAATTTGACAGCATAATTCTTCTGTAAAGTTAACAATTACTGCATTCTAAAACGGTTCTACAAACACCTGCCAGTTTGTCCAAATATTTTCATTTTAACGAGATTCGTGTTTTTCAATGCTATGGATGCCAAACTACTACCTAGCCCAGCCAATAAAAATTCTTCTATACTATCTTCTGCGCCAATTGCGATAATGCAATGAAGGACCACTAGCTTACATAGAAACGATGGTTTTCGTTTCATTCATATATTATGTAGCCTACTCGACTATACGAAAGCACTTCGAAAAACAATGTTTTGAAGCGGTTAGGTCGACGATACATATGGAGTGCATGTCGTACATGTTTCTAGTCCGTACTTGGAATTGTGATACATATAATAAAAGGCACTGAGGCTCATACATAGATATCAATGATAGAATTATGGCACGTATTGCCCCAAAAGGATACGTTAGAAGCATAAAGAATCTACTGAAGGAACCAACGCAGCCATTCAAGAATCTGTTAGTGCTGGATTTGGAATGCACGTGTGACAAGGATAAAGAAATTGTGCCTCAAGAAATCATTGAGCTACCCTGCGTAGCCATAAGGATTAAAGATTGGAAAGTTCAAGATGTATTTCATGAGTACATCAAGCCTCGATTTCATCCTACTTTAACTCCCTTCTGCACAGAGCTCACAGGGATTATGCAAGAGACTGTAGACGACCAGAAACACTTTCCTGAGACATTCTTTATGTTTTGTAAATGGTTAACCGAAGGTGGTTTCTTTGAAGAAGGAAATGAAAGTGCCTTTGTCACCTCTGGTGATTGGGATTTAAAAGTAATGTTGCCTAAACAATGTGAGCTCGAAGGTATTACTGTTCCCGAGTACTTTACAAGCTGGATCGACCTGAAACGCATATTTGCTACAGCTACTCAATATTATCCTAGAAGTCTGAGACAAATGTTAGTTAAATTACAGCTTCCCATGCATGGAAGATTACATTCTGGTATAGATGATGTGACAAATATGATTAAAGTAATGGAAAAATTAAGCAAATCTTACAAACCTCGATATAACATAACATCTACTTTAAAATGATACACAGTCCCTCTTAAGAACTAAACAAATAAAAGTTACGTTTTACCCTAAAGAGTTGAGTCCACTTAAATCCCTATTTAATAATGAATTTAAAAAAATTATTTTTATTCATTTAAATAAATACTTGATCCTTTAACCATAGATTGTCGGTAAAATCCAACAAACTACTTTATCATCTCACAAAACTGCACATTACTACCGCTAAATGGTATTACAAAAGAAAATACTAGAGATCACACTAGTTCCTAATTCTTCCGCAAGATGCCACTAGAATCAAGTCAAGTTTTTTCTTCAGTTCCTTGGCTATCCCGAAGGCTGGGTGTCTGACTGGCTGAATGGTTGGCTGGCTGGTTAGGCATCGCAGCATCGGAGAGTGCCGCCATGTTACCGTGTAGTTGTACTCGCCACTATTGCCGCTGCTTCACGCTCCCCACGTACTCGCCGTTGCTCTCGTTACCGTCACAAGTGATACGTCTGCATTTACGCGACTCACCTCGTCGCAATCCAATACACAATTCCTAATAACAAAGCAGTGAACAAAAGCGCGTGTCCTCCTGTCGTCAGAACAGCCGTATTGTTTATGGCGTGATCGCGATCGTTTTCGCGCTGGCCTTAAGGATCTTACAAGTCGATTCGCATCGCGTCCTACTGGCGTTTGCGAGTATGCGTCGTAACGCAACGCCAGTCCACGAGACTCCAGACGAACCTGAGTGTCGTGATTGTGAAAATAAGTGCGTGATCGTGGGTAGCAGCGCAGGACGCCGATGAGGACTATTGCTGGCACCAAAGGAGCTGTTCCAAGGATTTCCAAAGTAAGTAGGCAGAATGGACCAGTGAATCACGATAAAGATAAATCAACCAAACACTTGAAATTTCCATACTAATTCACGTGCCAGGTATGAACTCTGCCCGAAGACCGTAAAGCGATCTACTTGCAATCTTAATACAATGATATTTCCTTTAATTATATCACTTGCTGGGTCGTAGAATGCACCAAGCGCATCCTCATTGCACCGACCTGCTTCATCCTTGTCGCTCCTTGATGCTCAGTATATAAATGATCCGACGACTGTCATCGCAAGAAGCACTCAGATGCAGGCTGTAGTAATAAATTATAGATCTAGAATAAGGATAATGTAATACGAATAATCGTTCGCTCTGATAATAAGATAAGAGGAAGCCGAATTGAATTTCCAATCGATATCACCTGGAATATCGATGGCGGCACTGAAACTTTCTATGGAAAAAGTGATATGCCACGATTTCTCTTGGAAGAAAGTCAGATACCGATTCTGTCTTCTCTTTCGGTCTTTCCGTCTCGCTGTTTCTATATCTTTGTTTATCCCTTGCTCTCTTCACAATACGCAGCCACCTGATCCACAAAGTCGCAGGAGCACCAGTTGGCATTTGATAAATCAAGACAGCCTCCTTGACTCTATCGCTGGTTTTCTTGTTGCTGCCTCCTATCGTATAGCTCTATCTGTCTGTCTCTATGGTGCGTCACGGTCGGCCAATGGTGCAACAATCTAACACTTGCTGTAACGCAGGTGTGTGCTAATAGCAGAGTTAGCCAGTAGTAATAGCGGTGCTTTCATTCGAGCTGCTTTAACAATACAGTACGAAACCATAACAACGGGCAAGTCGATTGCAGCGTTGTTTCCATAACAAAAAGCACAGCTCGGGGACAGCAAACGATGTTGAGCGATTGAGCAACCTTACCTCCAGGTCAATTGTACTGGACGCACGAAAGGCACTGAGCAAAAAGTTAAATGGCCCCAATAGCCACGCTAATTAACGATAGAAACTACAAGAGAGTCGAAGCTTACCTTGCGTCAGAGATATACATAGCTATTTGGTACATGGAGACGAGGCAGAGTAGTATCCTGGACCAGACATTTGACTCCAGGTAAAAAGTAATCCTTATAAAATTTTTCAAGGAGCTACGAATAAAACGCGGTGAAGATTCTTGACACGGGGAAGATCGTATAACTCGAATTGACTGGATGGAATCAGGGGGGACGGGCTGCTATTGCGGTATCAGGTTTCCCGCTCCTCAGGATCGGTTCCAGTCAGCCATGGGGACGATGGGGATCGGCACGCATTCTCGAATGTCCATACACGACAAGAGACGATAAAACTCGCTGGTAGCTTCTTCGTAGAATTCTGGAGTTTGAACTAGCGAGGAGTTCACGTTGCGGATACTTTGTGAACTTCGTCGTGATTCGCCGCTATTTTCAATCGACGATAAGATAGGGTAGTTTTGTATGCTCTTGGTAAATGTCACTGTACTCTTGGACAATAACCAGAATTATACACGGCGCAGTTTTAATTGTATATATCTGCATAGCTTCTCCCTATTCTAAAAAACCGGCCGACTAATTATAGAATTCTCGTAGACGTCCTTCGACCAGACTAAATCACAGTTCAATTGTTCCTGCTAGTCGTCGATAGGAATTTACGTGTATATATACACACGTATTCGTTTGACAGGGGTTCCTGACCCTTTTATTCCTTCTGTCTAGAGTCACTCCCCCGTTTATCCTGCACCAGGAGGGATTTACATCCGGGCGCATCCACGCACTCTCGCGTTCCGTCGACAACTTTCCGGCACCAGTCAACCTAACCTAAACTAACCGAGACGATCGTTAACGGCCGTGTAATTTGTCTGCCGGATGAATATCAATATTTTCCCATGACCGAAAGGTAATTTACGTTCGAGACGACGTAATGGCGCACCGTTACGATTCAATCTTTGTCATCTGTCTTATCCGATTGAAGGTGGACAACACGTTTTCTCATTAACCTTGTCTCTTTCCCTCGTTATTCGATCGCCGGGTCGGAGGCTTTTCGAATTCACGCAGGGTACACACTTGCACGACAGATGTTTCGCGAGACGTCGGTTTCTAGGCGACGATTCGGTCTATCGCCGTGCACGTAGGAATGCGTCTGCCATTTTGTTAGGAACTGCGACAAGTCTTTTTTTTCCTTTTCTTCTTCGCGTTATTTACGTCTGCCTACCATTGTGCCACGCTGAAAGTAAGTGGAATAAAAATATATAGCAGCTGTGTCGTTTATATATACGTATTCAGATCAGCACGGCATCCATTGTCTGGAATCAATACGGTTAATTGAATCGATTACGGCGGATGCTCGGGAGTGAAGTGCGCAAGGAGAAGCGTGAGAAGCCAAAGCGTCACTTCGCATCAGCCACATTTAAGGTCAAGAAACGTTTTTACTGGCGCAGCTGCACTCGGGCCGATATACCCGAATGATTTTTATTTTTAGTTGTCCCGATACCAAGTTTCCTCCAGCGGTCATTGTTCCGCTACAACGTTCAGAGTCAAGCGAGCGTCCGAATACGATCGAATCGGCCCGAAGGATTACGGAATCGTTACTTGACTATAGCATCAAGACGCGTGCAGTGCTTCTTGCCATTTCTTGGACGCGTACGGCGAGACACGTGGCATCACGCGTGTTCTTGACTCGTGACTGCAGCGTCTAGCCGAGAGTGAGGAGCAGAGTGAAGCAGAGTGAAGCAGAGTGAAGAGGGCTCGAAGAGACTGAGGGAGGTTAGAGGAGTAGTAGGTGGTAGTAGGTAGTGGTAGTAGTGGGAGTGAGTGAGAGTGCCCGAGTGGAGAATACTCGAAGCGTAGTGCCGGCAGACGGTCTACGACGACCACCAGGACAAGAGCTCTCCAGCTTTTTATTCTGGCCTGGTTCGTCGGTCAGCCGACGACGAGGATCTTCCTCGTCCGCGGGTCAATTCTTTGTACGCGCTACGCGCTCAATTTCTAGGCAAAGTAAATCGAACTAACCTAAAAACGTCATATGGACGCGGTGGCCAAAGACACTGATGCCGATGGACACTGTTCCTGATGTTGCTCGAGCTGTCGCCGAGATAATTACTAGAGCGTCTCAGGACGTTGAATCAGCCGCTAACTCAGCATTATACCGCTATTATTAGCTCGTCTCTCGTCTGTTCCTCTCTGGCCCTGACTGTCTGTCCGTTTGCTGCTGCCGCTGCTACTCCCCTCTGTCCCCGTCCTGGGGACTTACAGGCTGGGCTTTGGTTTACGTTACCTGCGCGAGGTTAGGTTCACACTTAATCTAGAAAGACGTATCTTATTCCTTTGAAACGTACGATCGCTCGGGTTTCACTTTCTCAAGGAATAATCTGTTTTGACGGGCGTTAAACTTGCTCGTTAGTAATGGACGATCGTCGCTGCTGAGAATCAATGAGAAACCTTGCTTCTGGGAACGGAAACGCTTGGATCTGTCAAATTTACCTTCTCGCTATTTCACTTTACTAATCGACTGGATTATCGCGCGAGGGCGAAAGTCATCGATCACTTTGGTCTGGCCGATGCTCTCGAATTCTTGACTTCTCCACGGGACATCCTCGCTACAAGGAATCCGAGCGTTTACCTCACGGTGGTTTATGCGTCATTCAGAGGCTGCTAACTGGCCGACTGACACACTGGGTAAACATTGCCCGGGCTTAAGGATGTCTAATCGTATCTCTTGGAAGTCCTGTTAGTCGAGCAGAATTTACCAACTTCGGTCCGTTCAAAGTCCCTGGCTACGTCCTGAAGTATGAGTGGCCGATTGTTCCTGGGCTCTTTTCAAATTGCATTGGACCAAGCGAAGAAAGCAGTGACAGTACCGGAAGGGACTTTTACTAAATATTCTCAAGATTCCCCGACTGTACGTCGCGCCGGAACTGCGCAGAGGTGCCACCCGCCGTTCCGAAGGTACGAGACACCCCGAGGACTCGCTCGTCTCAAATTCACATGAAGTCGTCAGTCACCGTTCAGGTACGATTGCGTCACGTGTTCTCCTATTCCACAGCAAGCGGCCGGACCTTTCTATCCCTTTCTATCCGCAGGCTCTCTTAATCGTCAGGCGAAATATAATTAGTGCCTGCCTACGCTGTATTTAGGCCACGAGCGAGTTTTCGGCGCTCGGTCGCCGCGTCAGGGAGCGGAGCGTGAGAAGGTCGCGAGTAGGGAAGCTCACTCGAAGGTGACTACAAGCACGGCGCGAGCAAGATCAGCCAAGGCTCGTTCCACGGGAGAGCTCGTAGAAGGAAGGAACCAACCTTTATGCTCGTCCTTGGGCACTCGTTGCGTCAGCCAGGCTGGCAGGTAAGCGTGCCTTATGGACAATGAGACTCGTGTAATGGCGGCCAAATCCTACGAATTGACGAGCATCGACTGCGACGTGTGTGACAACGTTCAGCCACTATTGGGGCTTTGTCCGCGCGTCACGTAACACGTAGGCTTGCATGCCTTCGCACAGTCGACACGCTGACTCAACTTATCCTGGTTGCATAATCTCGGACTTTTCAGCAACCCTCGTCCACGTGATGACCAGGTGGGTGGACGGGTGGAGTCTGAGTAAGTGGACGTAGGTGCATCTCAACGGCGTCTCGCCGATCTCAATGCTTGGCCGCGGGACGAGTTCAGGATTGTACGACACGGTCCGATGCACGTATCAAGATCTTCGTACGGGATCACGTAATTTAATTGGCTTCGGATCGAAGGTCCAATCCGTATCGTGGAGACGGAGAAGAAGAACCCCTTCTCGAGTTACCGTCCGAGCGACATTGAGCGTGCGTCAAGATTCGTGCCGGAGATTATTCGCCGATCGTGAATGATCCTTTCGATTGTTTCTTTCGCCTTCATTGTTGCGCAATCCTCGTGAACCGCCGTGGCAGCAGCTGGCCTATAGGTGCCTGAAGCCAGTGCTAAGGGAATCGTGTGCCAGTCGGATCGGACGATCCTCTTGTCCGATGGACTTTCTATATCGGAGCTACTGAAACTCTGTGAAATACCGAAAGGAGCTGGCGGAATAGCGGAGCGTCGCATTCCGCGGGCGCGTTTACGCTCCAGGAAATGCAGACTCTGCCACCGCTCCAATTTAGCCGGCTGCATGGTCGTTGACCCGAGTCGAATAAATTTTACCCGGTACGCCACTACTGACTCCGCTTGGCTCGCGTCCCTCGCTCGAGTGCCTAGAGGCGCTTTAGCTATCTCGGAAGATTCCACGGATTCTCCCTCAAATCCTCCGTCCCTCGATGACCGATGGGCTTGATCGATCTCGTCCATTTGGACGAACGTGGAATCTCGCAATTCTAAAAGGATAAGAGGAGCAACTACCTTTCTCCTGGTTCTATCGTCACGCTCTCTTTTCTTCGTCCACCCCCCGTGCTTCCTCCGTCTCGTCAACCGTTTGCCGTTCGGCCGCGTCCTCTCGCCCGCGGAGTGCCTCGTGAAAATCCGACTTTGAGCTTCCCGAAATATGACAGTCAGTGAATATCAGCACGACGTTTCGTAAGACGTTAACGAGACCAACACTCGATTGGCTAAGAAGACGCCGACGGTACGTCAGACTAAGCTGACGATCGCGTGCTTGGAAATTAATAAAACGAATTTTTTACGTCCAACTGCATTACCGACCGAAGTATCTATCTGTTATCTTATTTTATAGGTGGAGAAGCAATGGCGGACGACCGAACCACTCCGCAGGGGATCGTCGCATCCGTGCACGCGGTGAGTTAATATTTTTCATTAATTGCTCGTCTGTCCAAACGCCCTACGTGTATGCACGTCGGGTTGCCCGCGTGCAGGCGCTTTCACATACAGGCGATATCGTTGCGTGTCGAGCCGCATCGAGGCGCATCGATCGCCTAGTCGGTCGGCTGCGTCGCTAACCTAGTAAAAGGTTGAACGTGAACGTAGCCACGAGTTTAACACTGCCAGTAGCACCCGGGTACCTTGAGCGCATTGCCAGCAGGTTTTCATGTCGATGGCCACGGCGCCCCTGAATACGCAGCCCGGTAATTCAGGGTGCTCGTTGGCTATACCCGTAAAAAGTATAAACATCCTTGACTGGTCGTGAGAGTCTACAAATTCAGGAAGTCCGTCAAAGATGGCCATTCGGTCATTTGTAATAGCCTGTAACTCGACCTTGATTACGTTGTAGATTATTTTTTTACATTTATATTTTCAGACCACGTGTTACCGTCTTGGGTGCATTACGACTCCCAACGACAAACATAGAGACCCGACCCGTTAGACAAATTCACTTTCAGACTGCCAGCCCTCAGAATTTACATTGCGATTCTTATCCAATACCAGAATATACATGCAAGGGTGAGCTCTACCCGCTCCTGGACGACCGCGTGAGTCACCCGACGGAATCACCGTGTCACACTGAATCACCCTTCGACGAGTAGGTAGCAAAGGAACTGTAGACTGCAGAGCATTCAGGCCAGTGGCCTCTGCGGTGTGGGTGCGTGGGTGTGCGCGCCAGCTCCCTTCAAGAGGCTAGAATTATGTATGGAGGGTTGCAAGTTCACGTGTATACGGATCGCGTTGCTTTGGCATACACATACCTACCACGTGTTACGGTTTATAAGGGTGCAGTGTGTAGGGTGAGGACAGACCCCAGCGACACCCTATCCCCACACGGAAGAGGTAACAAGGGTAGTTTAAGGCTGGTTCGGTGTTTTCGTAGGAGGAGCCGCGTAAGAATAGACCTGAAGTCGCAGCCGACCCCTCTGGTAAGGACACAAGCGAAGCATCCCCGACTTTGAACATCCTCCGTGCACGCGATTCTCCTTAAGATCATTGAATATTGTCATGGCTATTCGCGCCGGTCTGGTTCAAGTCCGACAGAGTGTATAAAAGTCGGCTCTAATGCTGCATGGTGATTTTCGACAGAGGTATTACGCAACTCCTGGGCACACGACTCGACCGCGAGTCATTAACGAGCCACGAAATTTCCTCGTAACGTTATTTCGAGGCCTCCACATCTTTCCTGGTGGCTCGATGCCCGACGAAAAGTCCGGCGAGCCTCAGCCGGGGCTCTTTTAGCTTTCCTGCCGTGCGCAGGGCTTCCTCTGCTTCCGGTGAACACGGGGACGACGCGGCTGAGGCAGCATGTAAACATTGGTAAAGTGATACTTTAGAATAACTCCGGTGGCGCCATCTCGTTGTTACCAGCCGTACATAATATCGTCGAGGAAACTGTCAAGTCATGGCGAAATTAGGTAGCTGCTGGCTGTACGGAGCTTCTGGGTTGTTCGAAAGACACGTCAAGACCATCGGAATGGACGTGGGAGTATTTTCCCTTTTTCATCGCGTTCATCCCCTGGGTGAATGACCTGTCTACGTGGAACGAACCCCCCACAACCCCTACTGCTTTACTCCCTGATACTCATCCGTCCTATTCACCCCATATAAACCGATTCACCCTTATTCACTGATCCCCCCCACTGGCACCGTCGGCCCCTCTCGAGCAATGAACTTTTCCACGCTTTTCATACGGATGAAAAGTCTCTTCGCTGATCTCGTTCGTACCGGTGATTGTACCGGTGGTATATGTACGTTCTCCTGTTGGTCCACTTCCTGTGACGAGCGCGCCAAGCTGCGTCTTCCAGCAGTTGTCTACCGATACTGTACTAACAAGTGCATTGGGGCGGGGGGCCACGTGGTTCAGACGGTCCCGAATGTTCATCCACTCGGGATCCAGGGCTAGTCCAAGGGTATCAAGAGGGGGTCTTCTTCCAAGGAACACTAGGAAATAATTTTTTTATTCATCATACACATCCTCACGGAAATCCCTTAGGACCAGATAAGTTGAATACGTACTTGGGTCTGACGCTCAGGGGATAATTTTGAGATGGGGAGGCAACCGTAGCAAAGGGTGTGTCCGACACTCCTCGTCTCCGCGTTCCATCCTTGCGCTTTATCGATATGCTAATACACGGTAGATCGGTAGCGGAGTGTACAAAAAAAGAAATTCAGTTTACACGATTACTTAGGGTTGAAAGATAAAAAATTCCTTCGGTCCGTTACAAGTGTATATGGACATCGTTGAGATTCTTGATGCGCGCCCCGTGGCGTCTGATGGTACTAAAGATAATTCGGCCAAGCGCTTCTTTTTTCCGCGTTAGTCGTCACGCGCGCCCCGGGTGGTCTTGCGAGGTTCGGAAATACCGGCCAATAGAGAAGACGATCAGGAACAGATTAGTTAGGGGTGGGTGAGGCTGAAAGTAAAAAAAGAAAAAGTTTTATTTTTTCAATAAACTCCCACGGACAAGTGTTTAAATGCCGAGGAAACTTTGGTTTCAAATAAACCGCCAGAAACGGGGTCGGATTGCTTATTATCAGTGATGATAGTGGAAATCGACGATTCACGATAATCGATCGCCAATCCCTGAGCCCTTGGACTACCGAACGGATACGATCGGTCGATTCTCGATTAACCATGGTCGATGTGTCTCGAGGATCGAGATCGTGCCAAAGGCAGCCAGTCGATAAGTAAATTGGCAAGGTTAAGTGGTCTGTCTGGAATAATGACATGACGTCACTCAACTTGCGTTCTTTTATGCATATAAATCGTAAAGCGTAATTTTAATATTTATATTTTACGAGGGGCTCGAATTATTGTCATTATCGATAACCGTAGCGCAATTAGTTCTCATTACTTCCGTCATGTCGACCGTAGCGCCACCAACTACTCAACGGTCACTTATTCGTATTCCGTTTGACTACCTATAAAATTTCTTCACTAACCTTTATACGCTTCTTGGTAAACTCTTTCGGTCCATTCCGCATCTCCTATCTGTGACGCAAGTCCGAGCCACTCGGAAGCTTCAGCTGGTATGTACGTCCGACAGTTTAGATATCTAGAACTGAAGCAGTGCCTGATTTATGATTGGTTAGTGCCCGCGTTGTGTGTAAGCTCCCTTTGAAAATCTCAAAAGCAACAGCCAACCAGCCAACCAGCCAACCAGCCAACCCAGTACTGCCAGCCAAAGCAAGATCATCTCTAGTTATTTAGGTAGCAGAACCTCGAGTACCCGATTATTCCTCCGGTTCATCCTGTTACTAGCATCGTTTATGATTGTATGAGAGAGAGAGAGAGAGAGAGAGAGAGAGAGAGAGAGAGAGAGAGAGAGAACAAGATCCATACCATACAGTACGATCGACCGGTTTTAACTTTCCCGCCATCAAACTTTCGATTTCGGTCATATCCTTTCCTCGATCGTACGATCGGTTGGGGGAAAAGAAATGTTTCAAATAATTTCACCCCAGGTGAAAATACTCCTATTAGATACTATATACTAATACTCGTGTATTAGCATCAGTTAAGTTCGTTTACTTCTTGACATCGCTACGTGTTATTTCTACGCTATTTGACTTTACGACGTTTCATCAACCGAATACACTGTCATTGACTGAGTCATCGTTATACCATCATACAATTTTATACGTTGGACCGTCCGATGCTCTGCGATGATCCTACCGTGGACATTATGTACTGGTATAGCATTGGCGTGGCAACGACAATTTTCATTTATAATTCCTCCTACCGGTTCATCCGTATTTCAGGGCACAGGTGCGACTCAGCCGATTCACATGGGCAAAGGTAGGTACGTCGGGCATAAGGTTAGGTGGCTGGTAGTGGCAATCCGAGTGGGGGTGTTGAACGACGCTGGTCCTCTCTATCACGTACGTCAGTATCGCGACGCCTACCGTGCCAGCCGAGCGAAGGAGCGCCGCGACGCTCTCTCTTCTCTCTCTCTCTCTCTTCCTTGTATCGTCCCACGTTTCACGATTACTTGGTCGGTGTAGACCATTTTTTTATCTCACTCTCCCTCCTTGCTCCCTTGGACCGGTGATTTATCTTCTGGACTTGACCCAAATATATCGGATCGGTGCATCCAAGTGAGACTCGTCGCAGTGTCTATTGACTTTGAATTTTCGTTGTCCTTCCTCTTGGATTTGTTCTTTTTTTTTTTCTTTTTCTTTTTAATACGTTTTTCGTATTCGTCCTCGTCCGGCCCGTCAAGTGCATACGATGGCTACTCCTTGTGCGACATTTAAACTCTGTGCTGCCGTGACGTCATCTCTATTTTTTTAATGGTGACCATCTCGTGGATTACCTCTGCGAGGCTACCTGCACGTCGGCATTCGCCGAGTCGAGTTCGCCTGTTTGATTCCTCCTGCGCGACGACCTTAATTTCAAATAGGTGAGTCGAGTCGGATTAACGTATTTATATTTGAAAAAGTAAGATCGATGCGAATAATCCTAATGTTTGGTTTAGAACTGTAAATTATTTTTTTATGCGATTTAGGTAAAAAGAAGTGTTTCATTTACCCGTCACAGAATCATCGTACTGATTTCTTTCGTGTGCGGTCTTTACGTAAGCACGTTCTTGACGGAATTACATAACGCGCAAAAGTTCATTAGCACGAAATCGTATACATGCTAATTGATTAAAATAACTTTGATCTCCCCGACCCTCGGCAGACTCTTATCTAATTTGAACTGTATCACCGAATCCATAATTCTTTAATCTCTCGAGCGAACCAAGGTCGAAGGTATTCGCTGCCAGCAGCATCAGGTCAGGGCATACACCAGCCACAGGACTGCCTACTGGGTGCACGCACTCCAGAGCCAAAGATTCTATTCTCGAGTAAGATTTCAAGTAGTCAGCCAGAGTTTCGAATCTTCTCACAATTGACTGGAGAGAATTGCGTAACGACTGTCTTGTTTACCAAATTGAAACGACGTTCCACGCCGATAAGAGCGATCCACGATAAAACGCTGCCACGCCATTGGCAGGTGTACTTCTCGAGATTGTATGCACTCGTGTATCGTAGGATCGATAGATCATTTTCAAGAAAAACCTCGAATCTCCGTCCAGAGCGACTTGTCCGTTCAGTCGCGTATTTCGCGGGCATCTCTTGGCCGAATGAAAAGTTATCGTCGGCAACTCAGAAGAAATAGAAGAAATCCTGGACGATCCGTCGAAACTGTCCCCGTTGAGGTTTCGACGACTGACGTTATAATTATTTGTACATCGAGGCCAGGAAGCCTGATAATGAGATATCTGTTCGCTAAATTTAATCGAACATATGGGTTGTATAAGCATATTTACCAAGAGAGTATCAAGGCTGTGCGTTAGATTAGATTCAAAGCGTGGCATCCGTTAATGAAACCGAATAGGAAGGAAGGAGGAGGCTGCGATAAACGTACGAGACTCTGAATACAAATCTGATGTGGGACTTGCGTCATGGAACTCTCATAACGGCAATCTTGTCTCCTACCCTAATGGAACATTTGTGTGTGTGTGTGTGTGTATATATATATATATCTCACTCTCTCGGATCATCCTTTGACTTTTATCCGTTAAGACTTTACGCTCTACTCGTTAGCATTGCCCCAATCGTCATGGTACCCTGTTACCTGGCTTTACCCATCTAGACTTCAAGCTCTAGCTGGCTCGCTTGGCTAGCTTGGCTACCTACCTACCTACCTACCTACGTGGGGTATCGATCTCTTGCGGGCTGACCCACTTCTCTCCTAGAATCCTAGCGCCCGCAACTCGAAGCCCTTTTGCTTCCTGAGTTTGCGAGGAAGTCGGTTGCCTCGATTAAAAAGAGTGGGAGAGAGAGAGAGAGAGAGAGAGAGAGAGAGACGCTGACTTGGCCGACTATAGGTTTGAGGAGTAAGCCATTCGATCCGGGAAATGTGATCAGGATACGAGGAGGTCCATCCCGGTGACGAAAGACCAGGCTTCAGGCTACGTACGTATCAGCATTGTTTGGCTGTCGCGACGTGATTCGTGCGTGACGACTGTTTACCTGGTCCCAACGGAATGCACGAAATCATGATGTCTTTGGTGAACTGTTAATATTATGCGAATCCCGATGTCGTCGCGCTCCGGTTATGACGTTGCTGCGAAATTCGGTTAGGCCTCCAGTCGCTACGTAGCTCGTATGTATGCACGTTCCGAGGAATCGTAGTGGCATCCGAGCGCGTCGAAACTTTATCCTCTTTTCCGTAGAACAATGCGAAAAATAATAATGGGACTACCGTATGCTTTATCCACGCGTCGCTATGCGTGACGAGCAGCAGGACACAATGGGCTGAATGAAATGTAGACGCGGGGGACTTACGTATGTGTGTTTACGTAGGGAGGAACTTTACCTTCGGAAGGAGTCGCAGTTGCTTGGTAAAATGTCGTTGCTGCTTATACGCGCAGCTATGCTTGTGCCGTAAATGACGGCTGTGGCAGCTGCTGTCATCGTAAAGCCAGGAAGCACAGGTGACTCTCCACCGGACGACGAGTTTCCTATTATGTGAGCTCGACTGAAAATGCACGACTCTTGAATGGCATCGAGAACTTATTGCTTATAGGTTACGTGGTACGGTAATATCGTTATACGTGCGGTAGATACGGGGACCCGATTTATATTGGGTGTAGACGCGCTCGACACGCCTCAACCTAACCTTTCGCGACTTCCGTGTGCAGCAAAGGCATTAACGTTATGGCAGCGCAGAGACAGTCAGGTACAGTAAGAATTGAGTGTGGCGCATTGGGCCGCGAATTGCCGAGGGTCATCCGAGAGAGGGGAAACCAGGCAACGCCATCTGTGTATATTCAGTCGCGGCACGAGTGCGCGGCTTAAAGGTTTCACCATGTTAAAGTTCACGTCGAGTTCGAGCATTATATTCCGTACGTCGATACACGTATACGTACTGTTGTTGTGTCTTGCCGACTGGTACGTAACCTCAAATGCCAGACGAATCACGCGAACCTCAAGGAACTTTCCGGTCCACCCGTTCTCACGCACGAAATATTACTAGGTTAGGTCGCGCGGTAATCTAGTGCGCGCCGGCTGGTGTCGACTCGATCGTATCTTTACCGGGTTTCGAGCGCTCGAAGCGATGCACTTCGGGTAGGCGTTGCTTATTCAAAAGCTTAACGGACGCCGCGATAACTTTCGATAGATCCTATACCGTTGTTATCGATCTTCAATTCTCCGCGCGATACGACACGTGCGTGCCTGCCTGCCTGAAGAGTAAGACGAGGTTAAAGGATAATACACGTCGAGGGTAGCAACCCGCTCAAATGGCGTCCCTACGCACGTACGACACACTCCCGTAGATGGCGCTCACGACGCACGTGCTGAGGATGCTAACCGCCTGGCTGCCCAATTCCATAATAATGTTTTGCCACGTACGAAACCGTAAGCGACCTCCTCCGCCTTAAGCATGAAATGCGCTTAATTTCCATGAAGAATTGATACAAGTTCTTACCAACTGACTAACTGACTTACGTAGCGACTTTTAACGATCAACCAGCTGACAACATGGCGGACTTTGATATCGCGCGAACGGGACTGCGGACAGTCCCATTCGCTTCTGTACATAACTCCTGTGACTTAAAGAACTTTCACACGCGTTTCGTGTCGGCATTTATTATTAGTCTAATTGATACCGTACGATCTCGTAAGATCAGATGTGACGTGGCTTCTCGCAATTCCATGCGAACCGCTCGCGCGGAACACAAGTGCATTTGAAAGAGAAAAATAATAACGACTCTTATATTTTATACATCGACAGCGCCACTCAACGTTCTGGCGCCAACCAATGGACACTTTAATCGCGTTAATCGTTAACGTCGCATCAACAAACCGTTCCCTGCTGCTGCTCCTCGTAGTAAGGTAAATACCTCCTCGCACGTATATAGACTCCGCGTAAAACGTCAAAGATATCCTTCGGTAACGATGAATCTGAATCCGTAGGATGTTTATCGGAGCTGTTCTGATTAATATAAATTTCCGCGTTCCCATGGGAGGTACGCCTTTAAAGAATTACGTCCCACCTCCCCGCGTCATTGGAGACGCCTCTAGACGCTTTCTGTATCCGTACGTATCTCACGATCGGACGATTGCCCCGGGCTCTCTTTATTTCTTTCTCCGAAGAACAACTTCCTCACCCACTGCGTGTTGTCCAGCCTTGACTCGTAGTCTCATAAAGTCATAATGCTCTGCCTCGACTACACACGAGACTCTCGCTCTGTCTAATGACACTTTAATTAAGACGAATCACACCGAATTCCTTTTTGCGCTGCGGACGCTACTATACGCGCTGCCTTCGCCGCCATTACTATGTAGTAACCGTCCAGGTCTGTTAGGCTTTCCTGGTACTCGAGACTGTTTTAGGTATGTTGTATTATATTTACGTAGACCTTTTCGTATCCGTGCAGTCACGTACAGACAGTTATTTTTTGCTCTGGGTTTTTTTTTTCTTCTTTTTTTTTTCATGACTATGTATACACAGTGTTTACGAGTTCTGTTCACATCGGAATAGCCATGATATCCCAGTGATATGTTTATCAATAGGTTTAACTCCGGGGGAAAGTCGGACTCCTCTTTTAACGCAATAAATACATATACGCGAGTCTGGATTAGATAACGCGGAAAACCACATGGCATACTGGCAAACCACCGCTTGCGGTTATGACCCACTGAGATTTCCGATTCAAATCCCGCTCGCTCGATACACACCTTCGGACATTGTACCACCGAAGTCAATTGCGCTTCGGTCGATACGTTATGTACATATTTTTGATATTTAATTTTTATATATATATATTGCCGCTTTTTTAACAAATAAATATCGAGTCTGAATATTTTAATTTACTTTGAAACTTAATTCCGAAGGTAACTTGACTCCGGTGGTATCTCGAAAAACCGTTTGACAGTTCCCCGCGCGATATATGTATACGTGTATACATGTTCTCTCGATACATACCCGTTTTTTGCCTATTGACACTTATTTACTCGGAACAGCAGTTTGTCAACGGGTAATATATAAGTTTTTGAAATACCTAACTATACTAATGTAAACGTTAGCAGGATTTATTTCGAATTCGTAGCTCGTGCTATTTCACCTTTTGGATGTCTGCCACCTTCCTCCTCTCTCTCTCTTTTTATATCTCTTTCTGTCCATCCATCTCTCTCGCTCAGTCTCGTCATTCTCCCGTGTCACGCCCACGCGACCCACAACGAATTCTTGGCAGCAGTCGAGATCGTCTTTCGATCTTTTACCGAAAAATCGTGAAATTAACGTCGAGCGCCGTGACGGCAGCCAACGAGCACGTCTCTGCCGTCTGCTCCCTTGCGATATCACGTATCACGACAAACGTCGCTAATTAATTTGTCCAGGCTAAATCTACTTTCTCATGCAGCTATATACAACACGTGGATTCGTATGCAGTTTACTGCGGAGGTCGGCAGCTGCCAGGCAGCCATATATATATATATATATATATAGTATGTGCTCACAGACTCCCTTTGACGAATATCATAGCGAGCGACTGCTAATCACACGCATTCACATCGTTACGTTGGCTTTCGACACGGAGTGTACATAGGTCATCCAGTGAATGGGTCTTCAAGGACTTGCGTGAGTCCTTCGTGTACCTTTCTGCACGTGTCTCTCTTGTTCGTACTTACGTTCTGTCTGTCCGTCTCTCTTTCTCTGGTAGTATAACAATTGGAGGAAATAAAAAGAAAGGGATCGGACGCAAACATCGACTCTTCTTGCCCAGATTATCCATCCACACGTAGATTTGCCGAGTTGATACGACGTGACGCAACATCCCTTGTAAACATTGTTCGGACACTGATTGAAAACAGGCCTTTACGGTCTTTCCCTGCGCAACGTTAACCCAAGGTGATCGATGCATCCTCTATTATTAGCTGTTCGTATTCGTAAGTCTTGGGTACCTCTCGCTCTAGGCTGCGTAACCACCGGGGTAATAACGTGTCCACTGTGAGCCTCGCTCGTGTTGGAACTCAGACACGGTAGCTTTGAATGTTGACCTTGAGAAAATAAGGGATAACGGACCAGCGAGGATACTCAAGGCTGGACGATAACGAGAATCTTTACTGTTTACTACGCGTCCGAGGAGGTTTTCATCGAGGCGATTACGTGCAGACTGAATAATTCCCAAACAAATATTTAACGCGTAGCGCCTTTTTACGTTCCTTCGAGTTGGTGTCTGTATACTATATACATATACAGTATATAAGCTGGAGATCTACGGCATCTACGTTATTAGACGCAGACGACGATTTTTGCGATTGGATTTTCCTCCGGGACCTTTTTCATTGTTTTATTTGTCCTCTGTCGGTCTCTCGGTACGGACGCGCCGCGACCGGTCGGGCCTGCGTTTTAATTGACGGCCCGATTAACGCTGCTGGAATGCAACGATTAAAAACAAAGCCGATTACGTCGAACGTCGGCCTTTGGAAAGTCTCGCGCGACTTGCCCGACGTCATTCGACTGCCTTTTAACCGTCGTAACGACGAGCGTGATTGGCATTAATGTTTTTACGATTCTGCGCGTCAATTTCAAACGAAAAAGTACTTGGCGTCCCTCTCTCACTTCCTCGGCGTCTCATTGTCCCGAGCGTTCGCGCGATTTGATTGTTTCAGCAGGCGCATTCGCATGTCTCGCGACTTCCGGTGCATTTTGGGTAGGCTTCTTTCAATTCCGTTTACGCAGTCTGCACGACGATGGCTCATAGGAAGACTTGCAGAGACTCGCCGCCACTTGGCAATGTCGGATATTCCCGCGTTTCTAAATATAAATCTCGCGTGTAAAATGCACATGTATTCATGTAATACATGCCAGCAAAGCCGGTTGAGCCTGTTGGCGAAGATCCCGTAGGCAACCAGATTTACTCCCATTTACTCGCGTTCTCTCACTCGGCGTCATCCGCAACCCTTTAGACCCAAGCACCAGGTGTACCTTTAATGAGATCATCCATTGTCAACGGTTCCGACGAGTAGTCTGAATAAATACAATTGAATGTCAACCGTCTATAACGAACCCTATGTCTTACCCTTCAACCCCTTACAGGTCTCTAGGTTTTAGTGTCTCAAGTTGGTAGTAAACCCCATTGGGACACGTTTTACCTACAGGTCTGTAAGGGTGAAAATTTCGGGATGTTCAAAATGCATTTAGGACAATGTCAGATCAGAGCGAAATGCTTTTACGGCATAGCAGTAACCCCTGCGCCGGCTATCAACAGGTTAATTCCGGATTGTGACTAGATTGACACGGCCAGCACCCAACGAGGGTTGACCTAGCCAATCAAGCCAATCAATTAAGGTCATTTTAGACGACACGATTCTAGAGGGTCTAACCTGCCGTCATCCGTTAGGAAATCCTGACGATTATCGAGAGCAATGACGGCCTTCGTCGTCTCGTAGTGTTAGGTTATGTTTGGATTTAAAGGAATTTGTTCTCTATGCTTCACAGTTAGGACACGCCTCGCCACCGCCACCGGCACCCTCGTCTGCTGGCACGAAAGAGGGCACTCCGCCACGGGGACCCAGGACGCTTCTTCTGCGACGCAGCGAAAATGGCTTTGGATTTACCCTACGCCATTTTATCGTCTATCCGCCCGAGTCCTGTTGCGTAAGTGTCTCTTGAATTACTTTGCTCGTGGTTCGGGCTAATGTCGAGGGGAAATGTTTTGGCTACCCTCGGTCTAGTGCACTTGAGAGGTTATGTTTGGGGGGGTCCGGCGCATGGACGCCATTTATTCTTTGCGCTTCTATTTTAAATATGGCGACGGTTTATTTAGTTTAAACGTAAATCGGTTTGATGGGAGGTCTGTTTGTGCGTTTGAGTTTTCCTGGTGAAATCGCGCCGACTGGCTAAAGAATGCATCCTGCTGTTTCAACAGATGTTGCCGGGACACGAGCGGACGAGGATCGACGAGCCGATGGACACGATCTTCGTGAAACAGGTGCGAGCGAAGTCGCCGGCAGCGGAAGCGGGTTTACGGACCGGAGACCGGGTTGTGTCCGTGGACGGGGCGCCGACGCGTGGCGAGCAATACGCCAGCGTCGTGCAACGTATTCAGCAGGCGGGTCCTTGGCTACGTTTGTTGGTTGTATCCAAGGAGGACGATATTTTGCAGAGGGTAAGGCTTTGGGCCGGGCCAACCCCCCCCCCGGGGTTGTTTCTTTCTTTCTTTTCTTATCGTTGCTCTTTCGGTACAGTACTTTGGTGACACGGCCCACAACCCCGAGACGAATCAACGACCGCGACTACGTTCACCCGAGAGGACGTCGCAGAAGCAGCGTCGATCGAGCAGCATGATCCCAGGGCCGTCTCCTCGAAGCAGACAGTCGTGGGTGTGTTCGACTTCCGGCTCCGAGAATCAGGTCACCGGTACGGAAAGTTACAAGCAACGCGAAGACGTTTGCAAGGACCCTAAGATGATCGTGTCCTCGCAACGGAGGCCACTGGAAGCTCACAATCAGGATAGCGCGACGCTGTACGAAAAAGCGGAAAGAAATCAGCAACGACGACAGCAGAAGGATCTACTGAACGCGACGCCCCAGCCGTACAGACCTCCGCCGGACAGCAGGTTCGATCTTTACGACAGAACGCGACCCGAATCCATCTACTCTCGACCCAGCACAGAGCAGCTCTACGACAGGATCAAGGATCCGATCTACGAACGAGTAAAGCCTGACAGCAGTAACTTTGGAAAGTCCTTAGATCGCTATCCGATGTCCAGGGCGGAACCTCAGGTTCCAATTTATCGACCTGGCAGAAGGATCGTTGCCAGACGCGCTAGCGAAGGTAGCGGTATCGTTAACGACATCGATATTTCCGGTCCCTTCGGTAGCGCCGATGCGCTCAAGCAATCCAGCAATCCTGGATCACGGCTCAGTATGGATTCTTCTCCTGCCAGCAAGGAGAGTCTCTCTTCTTACGACTCGAACTCCACGCTCACCGGAAACGAGTGCTCCGATGATTCTGTCATTATGACCAGGCTGCGCAAGAGTTTCGAACAGAAGGAGGAATTCCTGAGGAGGCCGAGCCATCCGATTGGGTGGTTATCGCCCGAAGAATCCGCTAGGTCGACGGCCCATGTACAGCCTCTGATACAACGTGAATTTTATGCGAGACCTCAGAAGTTACAGAGACAGGTTTGGCCACCGAGCGAACAGCAACAGCAGCAGCATTCAGCGACTTTGCCCAGACAACAGTCACCAAGTAGAAGCTCAATGGAACGCGCAAGTAAATCCGGCGGGAAGCCGTCGAATCAGAACGTGCAAAGAGTCAAAACTGATATGGACTCTGAATCGGAGTACACTGGCAACAGGAGCAGTCCTAACGAACTTCCTCCGAGTGCCGAAGAAATTCAAGCAGTTCGCGATCATTTCTATTCCTCTCTCTACGACTGCAATGGACAATTCGTAAAGGAAAATCATTTCAAGTATGGCTCCAGTACTCCACAGTTTCGTCCAGCGAACAATGCGCCGCAGAGGAACTCGACCTCGAACAAAGCCTTCGTGACGACTTTGTCGCGGATACATGAGAACGTGACCACGGGTCAGCACAACCAGGACCAGCATCATCAATCGCAGCAGGCTCAGGATCTCAGGAATGGCACGGCATCCTTACCTTCGTCGCCTGGACCGGATAAGAAGAGCGGGGAGAAATTCCCCGTGCCTCCGCAAGGACTGCAGATCGTTTCACGTCGCGCCAAGCAGTTCGAATCCGGACGACTTCTGAGCGACGACGACGAGCCTACCAGCGACAGGACGAGCCTCTACAAGAGCGAACTCTCCAGGCTGTCGAGTAAACGGAGCGTTCCTAACGTCGCTGTCCGAAAAAGGGAATTTGAGTCTAAGGCTGAGTGTCAGGAACCCAGGCGAATAGCCAATCACCGAGAGAGCAAGTCACTCGACGCTGGTGAGTGTCAACGCAGTAATTAATACTTGACGACGCGACATCTTCCTTTACTCGTGTGTCTTTCATTCTCTTCTACTCGTTATCTCTTTTATCGCCCTTCTTTCCGGCCTTCTCCTACCTCACTAGATCCTTCAAAACGAAAAGTGTCCGCGTCTACCAATCTCACAGTCTTGTTCCAGCATCTGCTAGATATTACAATAATATTGTCATCCAGGTAGGGGATTATCTGGGAACAGAATCATTCCCATAGGCAGCAAGTACATCCATTGTGAACCTCCAGCTGGCTATAGGGAAGTCAAAGGTAGAGATTGCTCCTGAAAACTGTATCCTCGATGTGGCTCTCAGTGTACAACGTTGTGTATCATCCTCTCGCGGGTTTCTCATCTGCAATGATATATTACTATCACCATCGTAAATGAGATGAATGAGATGAACAAGATACTTTGGTCCAGCATGCATGTAACATCCACGGATAAGGAACCCGTCCTGAGGAATTCATAGTTGGTGTCCATTGTGTTAACTCGTTCTCATTCTCCACGTTACCAAGAGATTCAACCTTATTAAGACAAAGGTCGCTCGACGAACTAATCCATCCCTACGTCCCCCTATCGACCGGACCTTCTTATCTCATCCTCATCAAACAGATAATTTCCAGTCTGCGAATGTAGCTGTTGTCTTTGTATTATCGACGTGAAAACGAAAGCTGTACATCTAGCCTTGATCGCCATGCAGTCACCTAAATTCATCATGAGGGTGTTAATCCTGTTGAAATTTATTTAGAAATTCCGACAATGGAAACGGAGCCAGTCCGTCTAAGGGCGCGGAGCAATAGTGCAGAGTCCTGGGAGGCAGCGAACGGATCTTCCAGAAGGAACGCGAGGCATACCTGGCAAACTGAACAGGACGACTCCGAGAGTAAACGTAACAAGGCCAAAAGACAGGACAGCTACTTACAGGCTGTCAGGACTCAGCTCGGTTAGTTTTTAAGGATAACCAATTGAATTTCTTTATTATTTATTCTTTAGCTGACATGGTCGATAGTAATTGTTTAGTGATTAGAATGTGCATCATTAGTATCCGAAAGCACGTTTATCATCACTGTACTATGTAGTATCTGAAGCTTCTATCGCGTAGTGGATATTTGCGGTCTTCGCTTCCTGGTGCCAACGACTACCTATAGCTTGCTTTGTTCTTTTTTCACTCTGATTGGTACCGGACAGAACGGGAGCCACAGTGTCTACGTCATCAGGATGCGATTGACAAATCAACGGAAGATGAACCCAACGCACCTCTCTTTCCCACAACGTTATACGATATTGAGGCTGATGTGGATTCGTCGTTATCTACCATGGGTCCTATGCCCCACGTGAGAGTCACTCCTCCCAATTGTGATCCCTACACTCCTCCGTCTTCACCTGTTTTCGATCCTGGATCCTCGACAAGTAGAGAAGGTCCATCGCCACAGCATCATCGCTATGACTGCACGGCACTACCCGATGTGGAAACACCTGAAGATAGCGATGAACTTCTAGGTTAGATTCTTGTAGAATTTTTTTTTTTTTTTTCACGTTGCATGACTTTCGGCTTCCTGGCTATACTTCCTGATACTCCTTACGCCTTCTGTATCGCTTTGCTGTGTCCGTTGCTACCTGGTGCTTTGTGTATCTTTTGGCATCTTCTAACGAGTCTGACGTGGACAGTGCGCTTGTGTGTCGCCATGTGTGCTAACGCCAGCCGTCTTCGCTTCTTGCAGCTCCTGCGAGTTCCTCGGCCAGCAACGGCGTCGTCCTGAGACGTCAGAAGAATGCACAGATCAGTGAGTTGAATCGCCTAGCCAGTGACTCCCCGCGCCATCAGCATTGCTACCAGAAACCTATTCGATATTAGCTTACTTGGTTTTTTTTTTTCTTTTTTTCATAACACATCATTCAATCCTGTTTATAGCTTCGATATCATTGATCTGATCCTTTCAGGCGACGAGGATCGTGCCACTAGGAGAGTGTCCTACCTTAAGGCCACTTGGGGCGAGCGCATGCACGTGGACAGTGACCTTGAACTGAGCGACACGGAACCGGTACACGCTTTAAGAAGGTGAGACACATGTCCTCAAGGACATTGCTCGGCTCAGGATTAAATCCTAACCGCGGGATTGGGTACCTCGGGGTCACGGAATGGATCACTCGAGGAAATCTACTCGTACGGTCTCATACGTTGATTTAAGAAGGAATTAACTATTATATTGAAAAAAAAAAAGAAAAAAAAGAAAAAAGAAATAGGTAAAGTTCAGGGATTGGCAATGGCCATGATTGCAGTGCACATAGACGCTGGCGTCCTCCGCTATTTCCAAGTGACATAACACCTCTGCGACGCATCTTCGAGGACGTCACTCAGGCGGCGTCGCTGCATCGGCATTCTCATCGGTGAGATTCGAGAGACACGTTTGCATCGGTCGACGTGTCGATTTCGAGAGTTGTTACCTTGTTGATATTGTTTGTCCCTGACACGTAGTTCCTACGATGCCTAACGAAGAGTGCAGCTGTTGTTCCGTTTCTGTGTGCAGGTTGCGTGTGTCCTTCGGAAACCATAGAAAAATATAATAGACCGGATCTTCCCAAGGTTGGCTCCCAATATGTCCTGTCATCATTCATCTAATTTCTGGATTACCCACGACTTTCCACAATAATCTTCCTGTTAATCGTATTATCTGTTGCGCCGTGATAGACTGAACTTGCTTCTTTCCATCTAATATTATCCGTGTACATTGTTCGTTGATTAGTTCTCATCCGGAATCCATGTTCTGATGGATATCCGGATATTAATGGTGTACACCCTGTATCCGTACACTACCTTATCAACGTGTACGAGTCGCTACTTATAAATATCCTCACGTACGAATCTAACATTACCTTCCGAGCAGCTTGTTGAAGTGCGTGTTCCGCTGACACCAGTCTCAGAGACCAGCGCGTCCTCCTAAGGATGCATCCTGAGGAGAGACCAGCGTGCAGGACTTCCTTCAAGGGCTCCCTTCATAAAATAATACTTTTGTCTGTCTTACAGTAACAGCATCCCCGGAACTCATGGTTTACCCTGCAGCGGTGGCAACGGAAGTGACGTCGTGACGTCAAAGGATGCCGAACCCGTCGAGCGAGAAGGATCTCTTCACGTCAAGTTTACGGTTCTCGATGGCAAGGTCAGTTACTTGTATCTGGAGCCAGAGCCAGTATAAAATTTGCCTTCCTGTAACCGTGACATTTATCCTTTTCTTTTTCTCATCTTTTTCTTAGCGTTCCACCGATCGTTCATGGAAACAAGTATGGGGCGTTCTTCGGGGTCCAATTCTTCACTTCTATAAGGATCGTCACAGCCAAGTGAGTCCAGTCGCTGAGCCGTAATACGAAATACCGGATGCCTTTCACGCTTTCAAAAGGTAGCAGCTAGCGCGAGGCTACGTATCGGCCCATGCGAAAGTCTTTGGCCGGAAGCTGTCGGAGCCGCGTTATCGTCGGAATCGCCAGGCTGTTCGGTTCCGTTGATTCTTGCGTGAGTCCTAGACGCGCGCTCGCGTTCCTCGGCGTTCCCCAGTCGCTATGCAAATATATCGATGGCTGACATACGATCACGCACAGTCCAATGGCACTTTGTATGAGGTAGTACGAGGTCGCGTTGCTTGCTACCGGATCGAGTCGCAATCGTATCGCAATATCCTCTGGGGAATGTCGCCGCCCATACCGAATCGTGGCACGTGCCACGAGTGCAAGAGAATCCGTCGACCTAATGTAGAGAACCCTTTGAAAATGATAAACGGGAAAGTCGATGTTCACGTTCGTATCGACTTTCACCAAGATACGAACCGTTAGGCTGTGTCTTCGGAAGAAGAGAGGGTACGGTAGAAATTTAATTTTAAAATTTCTCTCAAATTGTTTATCTGCAATTTTTGGCGAAATTACTTATTAAGAATTTTCATGTAATTACCGACGCGCAGAATTTCATGTTAATTTAACGAGCAGACGATTCTTTGGTCGTTTCACAAATATTCGTATGAACGATGGATGCGCGATAAGGTTTTCATTTTCTTAGGCATAATGGCCATGCGGTCAACGAAGCGAGAAGAGACTTTCGCGAATTCGAAAATGAGGAACGATGGACGCCGCGAGGGCTCTCGATTTGTCGTGGCCTTCGAGTCACCGTAAAATAGCGTCGCAATACGTCATTATCGCCGGAAGACGGAAGCGTCGGTGGTATCGCGACGCCGCTGCTGCGACCGCAGGCGACAGTAGCTATAGCGACTTGACGCGGCGGTAACGTGTTTCTTTTATTCAGTTTGCAAAGTTTACTACAACCGTTAGGGACCTTTTCTTAAAACATTTTCGCTGCGACTGACGTCCTCGCTGCTTATTTGCTCCTTGTGAAAGGTCTGCTTGTGCGTTCAGGTTGGACTTCCAAACAGAGTTAGAGAGTTCAACGGCATCACTCTTGGCCCCTACGGTCGTCGCGATGCTTCCTTCCCCTCTTTGATTTTGCTTCGGTCGATGCTCCTGCGCCACTGAAATGTCTACGTGATCGCGAGTCGATCGGCTGCCCGACATAAGTCGACTAGTGACTAGTGCGTGACTGGTGCGTACACCAAGTGCGTCGGTGCCATATTTTGTAGTGAAGAAGTTTTGGAAATATTAGGGACAAAAAAAGGAAGAAATGCTGGGATCCAATAATAGCAATTCGCACTCGTGCATACCATTGCATTTCAGTAGCCACGGTCTCTTTGGCAGAAGACTTCGAAGATGGAGCTCAACTGGTTCCTGGGTAAAGAAGACTTGTTCATTTTTGACCTTCCCACTGTCGCGTCCTCGTGCACGTGAGCGCGCTGTCCTTTGCTCGATTCACGAGTTAATTTAGGGTGAGGCAAACAAACGTTACGCAATCACCCAGGCAGTTCGTTAAAAATACTCAGTTCAGCTTAGACGGAGTAGAAACTAGTGTCGGATCTTTTGCTTCTTCTGGTTCAACTTGGCGAAATTGTGTTGAATTGGAAAAAAAAAAAAGACTTAATACAAATGCCGAGGATCAGGCTGAATTGTTGTTAATCATTGCAGAGTCCGTCGACAACGAGCGACGGCGAAGCGGGTCAGAACGTAGACGTGAGGTGTTCCTTGGTCGACATTGCTGATGATTATACCAAGCGGAAACACGTGCTACGCGTGGCGAACCCCACGGCGGAAGTTCTTCTACAGGCTGAGGACGCCGCCTCGATGGCCCTTTGGTTGAGAGCACTTCACAAGCATGCAGCAGCAGAGAAGCCTACGGTGAGCTGAAACTTGCTGTTGTTTCTGGAAAGAAGCTTCAGGAAATTTGTATTTTTTCGTTTTTACTAAATGTAAGGGGTTTCGACTGTACTTCGTAATGGGATGTCCTTCTTTGTGCTTTTATTTTCCTTGCTTGGTGCTTTGTTTGTGCATATATATATGTATACATATATAGAGGTCTCAGCACTCTCTCCTTTGCGGTTGGCTTTCCCCAGTAGTACGATAAGCAGATTTATACGTACCGCTAGGTAACGCGTTCCGAAGAGTATATGGTATATACAAAAAATAGAGCTACCTATCAAAATGGGTGAATAGGGTAGTCGATGGTGTCGGTCTTCTATCTGGAGTCAAGATGTATTATAGTCACGCTCGAGAAACTGTAGCTAATGGTATGGATGACGGTTTTTTTTTTCTTTTAGGACATCGAGGCGAGTACTAGCAAACAACAGGCTGTTCCACAAACACCAGGACCAACCAGTACGTCGACCGCTGCGGGTCAGCCTGCAAGTCAGAGATTGAGTCCCTTACCTAGTCACAAGGGTATCAGAAAATTGACTTCCTTTCGAAATCGTTCACCCACTGGACAATCACCGGCAAATAAAACACGTAAACCAAGTCAGACTGTGGAGCCGATACCCTCGCCTAAAACTAAAACCTGGAAGGGCAGGGTGGCCAAACAATTTAGGAAGATGCATGGACAGGCTGGATCACCGTCATCTCCAACGACACAATTGCCACCGGAAGGTGCAACCTTCAAAATTCCTCTTGAAATGTGTCCACCGGTTAGCAATGTTATTCAAGCTCCATAGATTAAACACTTAAAACTAGTTTCAGTCGCTACTTGAACACGTATGAAACTTCTCTTTGTTTTTTGTCGATTGGCTCAGTCCTCCTTCTCCGAGTTCGTCCCCTTGATCGTCGAGATGTGCACCAGTATAGTCGAAGCCAGGGGTCTGGAGGTCATCGGCATCTACAGGGTGCCTGGAAATACTGCAGCCATTTCTCAACTTACCGAAAGTGTGAACAAGGGTTTTGAGAATATTAATTTACAGGTACGTTGAAAGCCTTAATCATTTTTAACCATTAGAAATTAATGTTGAAATTTACTTGTTTTTTTTTTTTTTTTTTTTTTTCTCCTAGGATCCGAGGTGGAGCGATGTCAACGTCATTTCCTCCCTTCTCAAATCCTTCTTCCGTCAACTACCCGATTCCCTCTTGACAGCCGATCTATATCCGATGTTCATCGATGCTGACAAAATAGAAGATCCTCAGCGCAGGATGGCAACGATTCGCAAACTCCTGAGGGATCTGCCTGAGCATCATTTTCAGACACTCAAGTATCTCATGTTTCATTTGAAGAGAGTCGTGGAGCACAGTGAGGTCAATAAAATGGAAGCTAAAAATTTGGCCATTGTCTTTGGACCAACTCTGGTTCGTGCTAGTGGTTCAAGGGACAATATGGTTACAATGGTTACTGATATGTCTCATCAGTGTAGGATCGTTGAAAGTTTATTGAACAACGTGAGTTCAGCTTGAATTACATCATCCAGATTTATCCAAGCTGTCCCAGGTTTCACTGTTTTTCCTTTACTAATTCCGACAGGTGGATTGGTTCTTCTCCGAAGAAGATTTGGACGACTTAAGTAGACTGAGCGTGAACCTGAGCTTACCGGCTGACGGCAATGAAGTTGAACCTACATCAAATACAAACCACAGTCTTCTTTTGAATAATATACAAAAAGTTGAAGGTACTTTTTCATCGTTAGTTCTCTCTAGTATTTTGTATTTTGGTAGCTCGTTTGTCTAGACGCACGCGAATCACTTGAAATGACACTTGTATCACTTGGCTGTCACATTTTTTGTATCCACAACACGTAACACCTGGTGTGCTTGTTATTTTTATTTTTTTAAATATTGTTTCTTTGGCATCTGAAAATCCATGCCATCCAATGATCATTTATCCAATAACATTAATCCTGAGAATATGATCGTTCAGGTCACGAAGCTATCGTTTTATATTAATTTGCACTCCACCCTCATCTATTTTATTTATTTTATTTATCGTACATTTATTTTTTGCTTGCTTTTTATTTCGACAAAACAGGCATGCGTGATATGGTCTCAGCTAGGGATATTGTATCCTCAATCATATCCGCAGCTAACAGGAAAATGCAGAGAAGACGTAAAGGTCACGATGAACCTGACAACGATGAAATCGACGAAGACAAGGTTTGTACAGATTGGATGTAAATATTAATTAACCTCTCATGCTAAATTTCTTATTCAAAAATCAATGACATCAAATTCTCTCCCTTTAGTCAAAGTCAAAGCACAGCGACACCGGAAGTATGGCAGCCGCACGACAGAGCATGGCGCTGAACGAGCGTCAGTGCTCAGTCAGCGAGATAGTATTGATGCACGAGAGCAAGAGTCAACAATCGAATCAACAGACTTCCGGTAGTGGTGATCGATCAGATCGATCGGATTTATCGATCTCGTCAGCTGGCAATTACGTCAGTCCATCAAATGGATCGTCAAGTAGATCCAAGTATTCAACCAGTCAGTCCAGTCAGTCTGTCGTGGTAGCACCATCATCGCCAGAGTCTTCTACTCACTTGGGAAACGAGATGGGATCCAGCAACCTGGACAGCATCTCCACGATCTCGAACATCTCCAACGACACTAAGCAGAGCAACGACGAGGTAGCGATACGTAGCTACGCAGGACTCAGTGCTACCACCCAGGAGAGGATACGAAGGTTCGAGCAGGAGACCAAGGCGATGCTCCAGAGGGACCAGCATCGTCAGAGACGAGAAGCTGAGAAGAGGGAAGAGGAAAAGAAGCGAATAGACATGGAATGGCAATTGGCGAAACGCGAGATGGAAAACGATGACATTCTTGACAGCATCGCCGACACTACTGTCACCCCGAGCTTCTTCTCGGAGAGACTTTCCAATCTTAACGAGAGACTGGCTGACAGATCGCATGAGCCTACCCAGGACAGACACGCAAGATCAAGATCCACCACCCGGATCGCTCCGATCTCAGTTGCTGTACAGAAGAAGCCCACGGCTCAGCAAAAGGCACAGGCCAGTACGCAATTGAGTAACATACTCGGTGAGAAGATGAACAACGGTATCATCAAAAAATTCAAGACTGACAAGGAGGTACTCGTCTCTCATATTGTCGATGATAATTTGCAAACTTAATTTCTTAATCTTAATTTCTCATCGTTCACTTAATTACAGCCCTCGTTGGAGTCTGCTTCCTTAAGCGGGGCTCGCTACGGCAGTCTCGACTCCCTGCACGAGGTCCACGCGCATCCTCACGCCTCGCCGTCGCCGTCGCGTCAACAACGAGGAGTCCCGGGTGACATATCGGATGACGGTCAGTAATCAAATCTCTTTTATAATTATATAATTTATGTTGGTCGCGTACACCGCCTCTACGAACTTTCTGCGGCAGCGTCGAAGAGGTCGTTCCGGATCTTCCTGGAGAAGGTTCAAAGAGCTTGAGTCCACCAGAGCCAATGAAATTCTTATAATTTTGTTGGGACCTCTTCGGCACTTCCGGTTCCAGTCCACTATTCATTTTATCTTCAAATTGTGTCATGTTACGTCTTATGCTCTCTTTGTCTAACGACCGTAAAGCGTGCACGTCACGTATCATCTACTGGATGCTGAGATTTTTAATATTGAAAATATTTTCGCGTGCACGTTTCACGGTCCCGCGGTCGTTGATCTCGCGTATCGAGATAAAGATTTTTTCTATTTGAAATATATAAGCAAAAATTATTTATCCCCTATCGCCCCAAAATATCGACTCTCGATAGATATCAATTAATTCGCGCCTTCAGTCTGTCTGCCAATTTATTCTCTCTGTGTATTTTTCTCTATATATTCGCTTCTGATGATCGGTGAGTGTAGCCGGATCTTGTTTTCTACACTGGACTCAGAAGATTCTCACTATTAACAAAAAGCTTTCTAGGTACATTTCCTCTCTTCTTCACATACTTTCTATGCGTCTGTTTACAAGCGCAAATATATATATACATATATACCATTATTTCTATCGTAAATCTACTTTCTCGATTATTTCTTTGATCCTTTTTTTTTTCCTTTTGTTTGCCATGCCGCCGGCTGATGCTTATACGGTTCCACAGCGAGATTATGCTTATTGTGTACCCCAGAGAGCATGGTGCATCTATCACCGAGTTATTTGTTTGATCATTAAATAATTATTTCAGGTATTTACCCTACTCGCATGCCTATAAAAGCCTCTATACAGCTTCCTATGATATTGAGACTCTTAAACAGTTCATTTGGCGCGGCGTGCACGCCGAGTAGAACCCAGGTCGATATTATAACGAGCTTGTCGGATCTCTTTGTTGTCTCACTTCATTATCTGTCTCTTGTCTCTACTCTCATCTGATCATTTAGTTGGCCGCACTTTCTCATAAAGGGTATGCAAGACGTTCTAGAACAAGAGAAGAGCGCAGGCGTGACAATTGCTTGAGTTGAATTTGATCATTGAAAAAAAAAAAAGAGAAAATCTTAAAATCTCATTGTACATCACGAATGCGCGCGCACTCTTCTACATCAGGAACCGGAAGGCAGAGGGCTAGAGATGGGCAAGTGCTGAGGACTAAGAAAGGGTACGAAAGAAGGTCGGAAAATGACGAGCGGTCGATTGGCGGAAGGAAAGGAAGGGTTAATATAAAGTATAAGGGAGTCAATAGAAAAGGAAAAAGAAACAAAAAAATGTGATGCACTGTGAGAGATGTTCCGAGATGCCTAACTAGCTGCCTGCCAGCTGCCTGCTGGCAGAACATATATAAAGAGGAAAGACGAGGAGAGAGAAAATGGCGCCGATCACCATTTAAAGCCTTTTGTACCACTGACGATGCGACAAACCCCTTACGCGTAGGCACACAGCAACTCCGGGTTTTTGGTGCTACATATCGTCCCATCTACACGGTGCTGCAGGGGCCAGTGGCACCTCCCCGAAGGCACCGACCCCATCCCCACCCCCAACCGCCACCGGCCCCTCTCGCTCAGGCACATCATCATCGTCATCAACGTCACAGCCCACAGAGCCAGGGCCCTCAGGATCAGGGGCCGTGGCGACATCCAAGACTTTAAACAAATTCCTCAGAGGTAAATCGGACCTTAAGGTGTCCGAGAAGAGCTGACGGCTGGCACGCCCGAATGGCTTTACCATTTATACTCGTTACATATTTATCCGTTTCCCTATAATATATATATATATTCTGTTCTGAGCTTTTTCTTCTTCTTCCCCGTAAACTCTTTCCTCCTTCCTGCTCCTTCATCCATATTTGTTAATTTTTTTTTTCTTTTTTTTTTTATTATCACACAATTAAATCATCCATAACGCTCAAGATCCTCCCTGCGCTGTATTCCTGTACTAAATAATAGTCTTTTACGTTTTATTCCTTCTCGCAGCTCGTACTCCATCAACAGCTTGTGAATCGAGAGAATTAATGAATTAAACAAATTGTCTTATGTCACCTATACCCCAGTGCTTTTGTATTATTCCAGCAATCGACTCACCCTCCGACTGTCATGCCGCACGCTGTACACACTTTGTGCTGATTATACACACTGAATACACCCGTACATACATGCCAGAACACAATTGCGTATCACGTTAAAGAAAGGTAGACGCTGAGGAATTCTTTAGCGTTCCTACGTCATCATTCCGCTACACTATCATTGGCATTGGCTGTTCGTCCTTTCTTATTATTGCTATCGCGACTGTCATATTGCTAGCAACGGTTGCCGTCATCGTTTGCTATCTCGTTACCGTTGATAATCGTGTATTGTTATTGCTGCCACCAACTACCATTGACATCACTCTTAATTCATTAGTATCTTCATAATCGTCATCGTCTTCGTCCACTTGTCCTTAATGACGTCCTGCATTTATTATTTCAGGAATGCGTTTCTCTCGTTGGAATTAAATTTGTTGAAATAGCTGCAAACACAGCCGCTACCATACTTCTAGCGTTTGCCGTCGTCACACGTTTTTTGATTTGTTTAATCAATTTTCTTTTTCTTTTTTTTTTTTTTCATCTTTTGACTAGTGTACCTTTTTTTTTGCGCTCGACAATAACAAACGTTCCGATGCTTTGAGTGTTTCACGTTGTCACGCGCTTGACAGCTCGACAGTCTCATTTGTCAACTTTACTCTTGTGATTACAGGTAGCGATCTCCTGACCAGCCTCACGTCGACCTTTGACCGCAAATGGAAGTCACTCGTTAATCCCAACAGTCAACTGACCTCGTCCAGTGAATCCGCGACGCCGAGAGTACCTGATGCTAAGACTGATCACGACGAGACTCTGTTGGTTACTGTCGATGATCAACCTGAACCGCGACATTTTGCTGATCTCTATAGAGATCCAAGTCTTCATAGATCAGCTGTTGATACCAATCGTATTGTTCCACGTTTAAAAGATGTAAGAGTATTTTCTAACCTTCTGTCGGTTGTGGCATTATATTTTGTTTTGGCTTTTTTTGTGTATTCTTATTTTTTGTTCACCTTTGTATTGCGCTTACAGAACGCACCAGAGAAGGATACGGATTGTACTGTCGTCGAAGGGACTGGCGTTGGTCTGAAAACAGACAGGGCCAGGACGGTTACGGTGTCCTCGTCCTCGACGCCGGATAACGACAGGAACGTTATTAGACAGAAGGACGCGAAGAGTACCGGAAGCGCGACGACGTCGTTCTCAGGAACGGGTGCCGATCGCAGCACCTTTCTAGACGCCACTGAAAAGGACGAGAGCGATGGAACGAAACGCTTTGAATCTTTGGAGAAAGATCAGGATGACAGTGCCACAGTAGTCTCCTGCGTCTCGACTCGAACCGACGCCGAGTCACGAGAGGAAAAGCGCACTGGGGACGATGGTAAAAATAGTCCTGAGGTCGAGTCCACGTCGTATTCTAATAAGCTTGAGAAATTCGAGAGTCTCAGTCAGGGTAATCCAGAGTCCCGGTCGCGTCTCAAGAGATCCGAGTCGCTGAACAAGAGAACCGAAAGCGCCGCGTCGAAGCTCAAGAGATCAGAGAGTTTGAACAAGCACTCGGACAGGTTAGCTTCTCCCACCAATGGGAAGCTTAAGAGATCAGAAAGTCTGAACAAACATTCGGAGAGATCAGTGTCACCGAACAGTAAGCTCAAGCGATCCGAGTCTTTGACCAAGACGGAGAAGACCGAGTGCAACATCAGCAAGAGGCGTCAGTCGGTCAGGAAGGAGAGTGCTACCAAGCTGAAGAGGAAGAACGGGATGCCGGAAAGATCAATTAAGAGGAGACACACTGTCGGAGGGACCAAAGATTTTGACAAAGTTCACTGGCTCGATAATAAGCTCCAGGCGGAGGCGGCCGAGCGCGTCATTAAGAACGACAACAAGCCGAAGAAGAGCCAGTTGAGGACCAGCTCGCCGGATTTGAGTAGCAATAGAGTTAACGTTGCCGACACCAGCTTCCTGATCGAAGTAAGCTTTCGCGGACCTAGTAACGTCGTCTTCAACGTGACCAACGCTCAACCTCAATCCCTACCCGATGACAATCTCGCCTCTAAGGTCTTCAAAGTCCCACTAGAGAGTCACGTCTAGACGTATTGCAAAAGGTCATATTACTTCTCTGTGATACTAAAGATCTGGACTGCTCGATGATGACTATGCCGATGACCAGGATCAGGATGGCGAGTTCCTCCACCATTCTTTCGCTAACATAATCAAACTTATCTCTACGAACTGAATCATATCAAATTGAATATCGAAAATCCATACGTCTGTTCCGGCTATTTCCAAACACTGCATTTCATTGCTTTTTACTTCCTCGCCTTTATTTCCAAACAAATCCATCCGTTCTCATTATTCGTGATAAGACAACCGAGTGATAAGCTAGAGAAACGAATTGCCTGTAACGCATTGAACGAAGCTCAAGGCGCCATTGTTTTTAGTGATAATGTGGCAGAATGGAGGAAAGCATCGATGAAAAGAATGGATGGGAATAAGGAAAGCGAAAGGAAGGATAAATAACAGGAAGAAAACGAAAGAAGGAATTGGATGGAAGGCAGATAGGAATATATATATACCATCATGGGTATATCCATAACGCGTCAATTATATACACATCATACTTGTGAATTGTGATCGTGCAATTTTTTTTGTACATAATACGATAAAGTTTTCAAGGATACGGCGTCAGTGGGTAGCGTTAGTTTTTTAACGTGACGATCTGTCTGACTTTGAATTTATATTTTAATAATAATTTTACACGCCTCGATCGGATTATTCGGAGGTTTTACGCGATCTTCTCCTTAACGAGTATTTAAATTTACCGGGCATACAAATATGACTGTCCTATAGCCATTGGATCGTTTGCCGAATTGTACATACATAATATAGATCTAAAAATATATATTTACATAGTATATGCATGGAATTTATAAACGTCGATTAATCAATTGATAAAAGACACATTGGAGCGAGAGGAGAAAAAACATAAGGATACACTATGTTAAGATAAGAAAGATCAAGGTTGACGGAAAGAGAGAGAAAGATGAAAGACCCTTCTTTTGCTAATTCTGAAATTAGACAACTTTTTGATGCACGATGTGATAAAATTTCATGGCCTCCTGTCCGACTCTCTCTTAATTATCTCCTTATCTATCGTTCACCTATTTATCTTTCCGCATAGTTTCTACGAGCATACTTTTTATTTTATTTTTTTTTTCTTTGCCCATGGAGGTTCCATTATTGTGTTAATGTCCGCACGAGGCTGCTGCTACGATAGCTTAGGGTTTAGGGGAAGGATTTTTTAAGTTTAGATTCGTTATTAAAATAAAAAGAACAGGAGCGCGTTAAGCAAGGAAAATTGTATTTTGCATCCTTAAAGATAATTCGTAATGTTGTCTTGGCTCCTTGAAGAAGTAATTTCAAGGAGCAGTTAATATCTGAAAATAAAAAAAGAGTTATCTATTAGACACGTTGAGGATGACTTTTCGATTTTAAGTGTCTGGGAGTATGAAACGCCTGACCATTTATCATCGATGCCAATTATTGTGGCGAGGATAAGAATCGATATGGGTTAAAAACGATAAAAAGTCTGTCACTAAAGAAATTTCTATTACTAGTGTTTAAACGGGAGATGAACAATATTATTATATTTATCGAAGTTGTTTCCTATGTATAAGATTATTGTAAATACGACGACCCTTTCTTTTCTTTCTCTTTCGTTCATTGAGAAATCGTAAGTTTGTAATTGTTCCGGGTTATTAAAATAAAGAAAGTTGTAGCGGCTTTTTCTTGCTACTGAGAAAATGCCCTACGCGTTGGGGTATCGTCTGCTTTTCCTCGTAAGAGAGAATTCGACTGTCTTGCCAAAATTATCGCGACGAATTTTCTTGGGGAATTGGGTAATCTTGCGCGGCGTTTAAATATCCAAATGGTTCACATGTAACTAACTCTACGCTTGTATATATGAAGATATTTGAAATTCCGATTATAACGATAATATTATTATTTATTTCCAGAATAATCTTAATTGTGATTGTATTATTTATTAATCGCAGCTTAAGTCTGTCGTTTGAAAGAATTCTGCACTGTTGGATGGAAGAAATATTGAATTTGTAAATAAATATATTCCTATGAGAATTGAACTATCGATAGAATCGAATCCCTCTCAAGAGTCTGCTACTTGTTATTTCAGTGGAAGATGGTATCGACGAAGAAAAATGAAATGAACGAATGCCTACCTTTATTGATTTAATTAATTATTTTAATATTTCCAATACTTAATTTATTAATATTTCAATTTGAACGTAGCTTATTTTCGACATTTTACAATTCCAATTCAATTTTATCTACTCCGTATATTTTGTGAGTTTTTGGTTTAGCCTCAATTTTATATTTCGAATAAATTTCCAAAGTAAGTCACGATCCAATAATATTTAGCAACATTTGAAATGCTTTATTCAATGTTCCGAATTTTCAATATTTCTGTGCAACTGTTTTTTCCCTTCTTCTCGCGGGTTATCCAGATTTTCGTGAATCGCAAATGTTTGAATATTTGTTCTACTAAGTAGTAGCGGCAGAGATGAGTTGGGAGATTCCGAATGAGCCAATTTTCATGCCCAAGTTTTATTTCAGTCATCTATGTAATTTTTTTTTGGAATATCATATAACTCCGCCAGACGTCGCCGATTGAACTACCAGTCTGTTGCGTACTGTGCTCGACTGCGAAGGTAAAGTTTATAGTTAGCATTCTTAGTGCATAAATAATGTTAAAACAAAGAGATCGTGAAGCACAGTTACAAAGTCTTGAAGAATTTTCAAAGGCCACAGCTAATCAATTAAATGATATCGTTTCCACATTGGGATGGAGCATGAACGATATAACCCACGGGGTAAAATTTGTATAACCTTACTTATGCAGGGTCATTTAATTGCCACACTATTTTGCACATTAAGTCCTTTTTAATTCTACGACAGAAAATTACTATTTGCTGTCCTTTTGATCCGGCGCATCGTGTTCCTGAAGATCGTTTGGAGAAACACTTGGAGTCTTGTCAATGGACTGCCGAAGGATATCAAAAGCAGGATGTTCCACTGTCATATCCGAGTTTACGTCCTTGTGCACCATCCTCCATTACCTTTGGTATATATAGACTGGGGGTAGACTATCATGATTATGTAAATTTATATATTAATCTCTATTTTTATTACAGATGAAAAACTTCAGGACGAAGTACTTTCAAGAGCCAAGATAGAGAATCCATCGTTAAATATAGGTAAGTGATATTGCTGGAGACGCAGTGCTGGAGTTTGAATAATTGTTGGCCTTCCTGCGTATATCTAAATGGTCTAATTTTTTACAGACAGTTATGAGTCTTATACTTGGCCCCAGCTCGCTATATCCTTTTTAATATCCTTTGCTATACATGTATGAACAATAATTAGATTATAATTGTTTGGAAGACCAATTACTAAACCTCGTGTAATACATGCGTTAAATATTATAGCGCATATTGTATTTATTATTGCCAGCACATGATTTCTTAACACTGACAATAGGTGTGGGAGGCCGGTTAATACCTCGTACATCAAACAGGCTGCAAGCAGATTTTACCAGTGACGAGAGGAAAGCTCTTTATGACTATGTGATTGGTAATACTAGGAAACCAGAAATCGGCGAGGATATTGCAGACATAAATAAACCGTATGTACATCAATATTTTGATTATCATAATTTTGTTCAGAAGACGAATGTACAATTAGAATCGATGAGTATTTTTGATTTGTTCTTGTTTATTAGGAAAGCACAAGATGGTGAAACAAAGAAGAATACGTTCCTGGAGTTACTGGCGCAAGAACGCAACTTGAAGCGTCGTCGAGCTAAACACAGAGGCGTTCATACCAATAAGAAGTCACACTTGGAGATCATGCGTGAAGTAATTGAACAGCAGATGGAAATGTTCATAGAATATTTAACGGAACAGCAGGATTCTTTAATTCCTAACAATGTTGTGCACAGTTCACATACCAAGAGTGTGAATCAACTGGCAAAATTAAATGGCAACAATTGGAATTCGACTGCGACATCCTCAAAGGAGGTAGAATCCAAAAGGGATTATACAAGATTGCAGGAGCGCGATATCCCAACGGAGCATCGACGGTCCAGATATGATGAAACGAAAGGCACACAAGATAGAATATCCAGTGACAGGAATGTCAGATCCAGGGATCGTAGGAGTTCAAGTAGAACAAGGAAAGACAGATCGAATACAGGAAGCAAGGATCATCATTCTCGAGACAGAGGATCTCACTTTAGTAAAGATAAATATCACAAAAGGGAGAATCGTCGTCATGAGTCGTCGAGAAGCAGACGTCATTCACGGGAACATGACAGGGAACGGCATGGTAATTCCTCAAAACGTGAGGAACGACATTCTAGAAATAAGAATTTCCCAATGTATGGTTGGTAATTTTAGAATTACACTCTAAATAAATGAATATCTTTGTAAAATGGAAGTCAAAATAATCCGTATCCATTCAAGACCCTTAAGTTCATTCCCGTGCAACTTGAGACTCCTGCACATTTCTGGTTGTTCATAATTTCTACAATATGAGATACAATTTCTTTACTGATAATAAGACATATACATAAACTAACCTAACTCAACTGCTTATAATAAAAGTAACAGGTGGCTCCACGAGGGAATGTAAGTTTCGAGTTACTCGGCAATCTTCGGCTACGATCGGTTCCCCAGGACGTTAACGGAAACATTAGATACGCGAGGGGATAACGGAAACGTAGTAAAAGAATTTAGAACGATTAATGATTAGATGAGTGATCGGATTCGTCACTCGCAACACGCTGAATAGCAATAATATCAAAAATAGGCTGATTCGAAGTCAAACTTGGACCTACAATCTGCAGATAAATCTTACATGTCTCCACTAAATATCTCCATTTCAATTCAATCCGGTCTGCTAGAGACATGGCCTAGAAAATAGAATTTATGCAAATCAAAGAAATAATGAATTATTTTACAAAATAATAAATACCATGAATTCCTGAACGTTGCAATTCAAAGTACGTTCAGCAGCTATTCCACTCAATCTGCAACCTATCAGATATCCAGTCCCATCTTTGAGACTCAATTTAAAGTCAAACCTATCTGAATTCAAAGAGCTAATATCCGCACCGCCAATCCCGCAACAATCAGGATTGCTACAAGAGTTCTGATCTTCCGCAACGGCTTTTTTGCACACAGAGCTACAAAGTAAAAAAGGTAATTAGTAGAATTTTTACTGGCGTAATTAATAAAAACACGAAAAAACAAAAGACAGACCACCATTGCCATTCCATTTCTCTAATTTCTGCATAGACAATAGTCGTTATTTTGGTTCCAGCAGTAAATTTCTTTAGACTAATCAATTCATTTATCTGCTTTAAAGTCATTATATTTTTGATATTATCAACTGGAAAAGTAAAAAAAAAATTAATAATCACATAAAAAATGTATGACCACTATACATTTACGATTTGAAATAATATTTAATTCCTGGGAAACGTTGTACAGTCTACGTCGAGTAGCATCTCGCACTTGGACACACTCAGGAATATTCGGATTTTCAGTTATTAAGGTTTTCCAGGCTAAAACAATGAAATTTTATTAATAATCAATTACAGATTATATTATATAATTTCTATTTAAAACTACCTGTATTAAGTTCCATCCTCTTTTTAAATTGATTGTAGGTAATACGAAGATCGGCAAGGAACAGTATGGTATTCGTTGGTATCCAATGCGTTGATCTCTTAATCCAATCTTTGTTCCAAAGTCGTAAATTGATTGGCTTATCAATGCTTCCATCAGAAATTTCAAAATCACGATAGGCAGTCAGACGTTTATCGCGAGTGATAATGTCGCGGGTTTCCTTTATGGAAACTACAATAACCAATATATCCACATACTGTCCCTCCAGCTCTTCTATACTTTTAATAATATTACAAAGACGTTGAACACGCTCGACATTTTTAGTTGGCAATCTCAATAGATTCTTGTAAAATATTATTTTAGGACTTTCATGGGCCTGAATATGAGCCACACCTTCGTTCACAGTTAAAGTATAGGGATTTGATACAGATGGGACAAACTGTTCGTTTCTGTCGTCAGGTCGTCGTTCAATAACTTTTGGATTAATTATTTCCACTAGAAATTTTTATGTAAAATAAAAAATATTGAATACAAGAGAGAAAATGTTATTATGGCGTGTAAACGTAATACGAACCGACGTTGCCCAGATGAAAGGTAGAAAATAATTTGTTGATGTAATTTGCACTGCCCCATACGGTAACATTAATAAAATCGATTTCAGAGTCGCGCATTGTAAAAGACCAGACACTTGATTGTCCTGTGCCAACTGCAACAATAAATTCTTCAAATAAATGACTGAATATTCAATTATTTGTACACTTGTACCTACATCTTGAATTTCTTAGGTTGATCGACCTCGGGGCCTCGTTGTGTATAATTATGCCGATCACTAGAGAATTTCGCATCTGTGGCTCCAGTGAACTTAAAGTTTGTCGACACACACCAGCCATTGTATACAATTTTTAAAGTGAACAGCGAAAAACTAATTTCAAAATTCTACGACTTAAACACCAGCACCGTTAAGAAATGGTTGCCGCAACGACGTAAGTCAGTTCGCGTCTTATTATTGGACTTGGAATATCGTTAAGAAAATAGACTTTCGAGATAAAGATGAACGGTTAAATCAATCGAATTTAATTAAGGCACGCAAATGTATACTATATTGTACAATTGTCTTGCTATTTATAATAATATTTCTCTCTACACACTCACGTCGTTCAGGGATATAATCAAAAGTACAACAGAAAGAATGGATAATTTGTTTCAAGATACTTTGGGGGGAGGAGCGGGAGGGGGGGGAGAAAAAATTAACGAAAAATCAAAAGGATTAAATACGAATACACTTACATCTTACATAATTATTACGGCATATAAGGCCAAGCGTCTTTCCTGCAAATATTTTGTGACCATTCGAAGTTAAATGAAAATAATAATTACCACACGAGTCAAGTGTCTTGATTCCAATTAGAATCGTCATTAAATGCGAAACGATAATACTAATTCGTGTAACTTACAATTCTAAATCTACTTGTACATAAGGCAAGTTAGACGTCACTAATATATGACGTAAGTGTCAAATAAAGATAAAAGTATATCAATCAGAAGGCATGAAGAATATTAGTATTCACTAGTCTAGCCTAAATGCTAAAGTAAAAAAACATCAGACAGGCGTTTCCGGATTTTCCCAGTCCTCAGCATTCTGACGCGAAAGAGTACGTCCGGTGGAGCTTTCACGTATAACTAAGCTTATGGAATCCGCATAATCAACTTCCAAGGATCGTTCTCCACCCTGAGGAAGGCTTTTGTTCGAAGTGGGTGAAATATCAGTGCTATCAGCCGGACTGAACTCGTGCCGGAACCCATCGGAATTCGAGTGCGTTGGCGTAGACAATTCCGACACAAGAGGCGTCGACTCGTCGTCACTCTCGTGTTCGTAGGACGCACCAGGTATAGCACCAATCAGTTTATCCTTGAATTTTCCGAGTCTCTCCAAGCTGCTCGTCCCTACAAGAGCGGAAACAGCCACGTTGTCGTTAGACCGACGTGACTTCAAAGGCGCCAACGAAGACGTCGTCTTCAGTGCAATGTTATTCCCTAGACAATTCTCATCGGTAGATCTCGACCTTAAGGCAGGTCTCGGAGAAGCCGGTGGTGATATCAGAAGTGAGGCAGGCCTGTTGCTGCTGCTGTTGGTTCTCTGACGTCGTCCCTGGGAACACGTGGATCTTGTGCTGCGCTGGGAGACGACGCTCTGCTGGGAATTGGAACGACGCAGTCTGCCGGTCGTGTCCTGTGAACTCTCGTCGGAGCTCTCGGGCTCGTCGGGCACGGGGATCCAGTGATAAAGCGGAGATGCTTGGAGCAGGACATAGTCGGTGTCAGGGGCCGTGCTACCGAGGGATCTTGGACGTTCACCTAAAATATGATTCGCTCAGGCACCTTCGCTAGGACATTGTTAATCGGCAATCGCGCGTAGATATTTTCATCCGTCGATACGGAACGTTAAATCGCCTTGACGGCAACTGAAGGACTGTGGATAAGGAATCGCACGCCAGACCCGCCCTGACATCCGCAAACGTTAATCTGCAAGCCGTTCCGGGCAGGCTAGATGGTGAATCGTAATAATACAAGGGTAACGCTGATGATGGGAAGCCATGCATACAAGATCAAGCAGTGAGATACCTGGCAAATAAAACCATGCAGCACTCCGTTTTAGGTATAACTTTATTGCCACTTGCTTTCTGGTATAACAATATAATTTATATTCTCTCTTTACTTCATTTACTCTCTCGCCTCTCTTTCAATTCGTACAATTCGTCTCATGCACCAGGAATTGAACAAAAATACAGAGACGACGCTCACTCTGTACATCTTGATTCACCAAATTACGGTTACAGACCATCAAACGTTATTTCCCTTCTCCATAGATTCTTTTAATTTCCTAGAAAACCTAGAATCACTGTCCTAGTAGCATAGACATCCAACGCATTCAACGATTAGATTGTTGTAATAGTAATAATTATAAAGATAATAATAATAATAATAATAATAATAGTCAGAATGATAATAATAGTTAATAGTAGTAACATCAGCAGTATCAGCAGCAGGAGTTTAGCAAGTGTACAAGGTGTATCAGTCTGACGCGAATGCCTTTCTTGGCTCCTGTCACATTAACGTAACACCTAATTAATTGCTCCAGCATAATCGTGTATCACGAGTATTATTGGCATAACGTGGGACTAGCATTTGTATATGGCTACGCGTAAGAGGTACGCTCGCAAGATCTTCCTAACACTATTGACAATCATCTTATGTGGATTAATCATCGGTGACTGATCACGTTGATTTAATGTAATCTTTATGACGCATAGGACACAGGTACAATATAGTATATGTTCTTATATGTATAAGACTAGTTTTCATTCTTTGAACGACATCTGTCGCCCTTTGTACATATCGAAATAGAGTAACTTTAATGCGATTCGGCGACCTCGTGGACACGACAAGATCCCATTGAGCTTGTTTGAACGTGGAGCATCCTCGCGACGGCTCAGGACGATGAGGATAAATAAAGTGGAAGAAAATTATAGTATTATTATATCGAGTAGCACCATGCGATGGATGTCTATGCCATCAGGAACTTGAAGACGCAGCTAACGCAACTCACGCACGTTACTCACGGCTTGGTTAAACATGCTCGCTGCCCAGGTGTTGATCACCAGGTTCGCTTCAATTCGATTAGAGGTCTGTGGCGGACTCGGTGGCGGTGTCAGGGCTTTGGTCGGATTGCGACGGTTCCTGAACTATAACCAGAGGCAGTGCAAGCGGAAGAGAACTGGGCTCACCTGAAAGTGAGTCACTAGGGACGACCGTAGGTCCCGGCACGTCCAGAACGTCCTCGCAAGCTTCCTCGTTTAGAGTCTGCAGGGCTCCACAGATCATCTGCTCCTCCAGGGTAACCTGGCAAACACGCATACACACCACGCTCGAAATTGCATTACTTTCATCTAATGCACTGCAACCGCGTGCGACTAATTTTTCGGATGACGAATCTCTGTGACAATAGACGGTCAGGTCATTGTTCTTAGAACTTACCTGGAACTGCATCCGAGGTACGTAACGGCATGATTCAACACTTGTGTTAGTCGGGAAGCTCGTTATATTGGTTAAGCATCCTTTATCAAGGCGTGGGATAACATTATGGCGTGGACTGTTAGCTCACCTGCTTCTCCATTATGGATTGTTTTGTTTGATCTCGTCTAGGTGGACCGTCCGTTCTCGAAATGGACTTCTCTTTCTCCACGTGGGTGGGTCCTCGTGAAGTACTGTTTTGCGGAGTCAAATCCTTGCGTGTAACTTGCTCGGGACCAACAACGAAACGGACGCTTCGTGGACCTTCCTCGTGGGTAGTGACCGAAGATAGTTCTGCTTCGCGCAACGACACGACCACCATGCGGAAGAGTTCCCAGTCGCCAAAGCTCATTTTTAACACCTGGTATCAAGGGATCTCGTTAATTGCTATTTAAAGATTAGGGAAAACTTTCATAGACATGAGGAGCTTCATACTTTCTTCAATTCCTGCATATCACAGTGCAACAGGACTCGGCCACTTATGTTGTTATCACGAATGACATTCTTATATCGCGATACCTGATTAGCATTAAGATCCTCGATCTTTTCCAGGAGATCGCATACTCCGTTTACCGATAACGAGGACAGTCTTATATCCAGGATCTCCGCCTGTACAAAATTACAGAATGATGAAATATTTTAATGTCAACCTCATGGCAAAAATTTTCCAATGTGACACTACTTACTGGTAAAGTCGTGGTGGCTGACAGCGGTTTAGGAACTGGCGGTTCCATAGGTGGCATTTGAATCCAAGGTGGTGGTTGCCATTCAATGGCTGGCGCAATAGGCCAGGACTGAATTATAGGATTATTTGTCTTATCGGCTCGAGGTTGTCTATGCGTAAGTACGTTCCTATTGTTCGCCCATTGTTCGGCGATTATGCCATGCGTATTGTTCCACGGTGCTAATGGCTTGTAGAGTCCTTGGCCTCCTTCTTCGTCAATAGACTGTTGCTCCTCCTTTATCTTCTTCCGTATATAAGGGTCAAGATTGATGGTAAATGGTAGGAATATCTTCATGTCGCTAACGAGCAAACTAGACCGATGGAAGGTCAAAAACACGTCAAGTTTCTTCTCATCCCTGTCCATCTCCAGAAGCGGCTGCACGTCTTTTATTACTGGAATTTGCGGACGCACTCTGTGGACAAGAGCCAAGCGAATAAATTTACGAAAAGAGGTAAATGGAAAAAAACCCAAAACCAAGATCGATGACTCACTTGTCATAAAGACTCTTTAACGACATGGAATCATCCAAAGTCTCCTCGTATAAATCATAATGTAATATCATCCAGGATGTTCGGAATGGCCACTGTTCAGTAATGTTGATCCAGCTAGCCAAGTGGTACCAGTTGAAGTCTATTTGGAATGCTTTCAATAATCGTCCTAAGAATGCAAGCAAAGTATTGAAGCTACCAGAGACTCGCAGACAATAAAACAATAATCGCCATTAAATTACCGGTAACGTAAACGACGTTCATGAGACGTCTCATGCTGCGTGGATTGACGTCGCTGAAATAATCATCAGTGAGCAACATCTTGTTGAGATCGTGAGCGCCACCAAGACGGTTTAAATTGCTGCCAATGCTACTAGCGATGGATTCGCTCAGTCGCAATTTTCTGCTACCCTTTCTACTTGGTGGTTTCAATTTTTCATTACTGTTCATTACACCGGATTCTGTACTCAGACGGCGATTGGATACCGAATGATGTATCGCGCTGGTTGTCGCATAATTGACACTCTCCTCCGCTTCGTTCCATGCTGTCTTTTTACTGTGCTGAGCGGTCTGTTGAGCGACCTTGACTTTGCGCAATCCACTATTTTGAAGATAGAACGGTAGATGCACCATGTTACGTAGGTAATCGTGTCCGCCAATATTTGATTCCGTGAACAGCCTTCTACTGTTTACTTCAACCGCCTGCGAGAAAGTTAGGAATGTGATTAAAAAAAATAGGTATGAAAAGAAACAACTGTGATCACACATAACGCGCGAGGCCAAAATATTCCACCGCGAAAACTGGTAGGTGGAGAGAGACAGAGAGAGAGAGAGAGAGAGGGGGGGGGGGG